CAGCAGAAAACCAATTCATATTAAGTGCTAAGTCACAGCCTAAAATTAAAACTTTTTATTGCTCCGTTGATGATTAGATTGGCTAGGTTTCTAAGGCCCAGATCTTAAAAAGTGATTCACAAGGTAGATTTCAAGCATCCTGCTGATTCATGTTCATGAAGATAGCCTAATGCAGGATTTGACCCAGCCATCAATAACGAGACACTCACCCAGACATGATTTCTCTTATTGCAGTAGCACACTGTATCCACTGCTGATTATGCTGATACAATTTCTAATGTGACTGAGCAACTCCAAAGATTCACAGGGCTTTTTGGTGAGAAAAATCATTCCAATTCCAAGTCTCTTCCTTACAGATCTTCAGTTTTGAATGGGCTAAAGAACCTACAGCATACAGCTGAAGAACAGCATTTTATGCAACTGGCTATTGGATGTCCATGGGGATCCTCTTACTCTAACATTGCATATAGAAGCAACTGTCCCAGCAAAACTATGAAAACCATCAGTGCTGCTCCTTGGAAGGTCAAGCCAGGCTCCATGTGGTGCTGAAGCCGCGTTAGCTTTGCTTTCTCTTTGATCATAACCTTTGGACCCACCACCTTTCTTGATCCAATTGCAGGAAGAGGCTTCCGACTGAGGTGGGGACACAGTATCTCATTAGGAGCTCTTGCTGTCTGGGGCAGTAGCTTGCTGAGCGGTGATCATACAGCTGAAAAACTGGACCTTTATGCCTTGGATCCTTATTGAGCCTGGTGCTGTATATAGAACTGGATGTGTGCCTATAAAGGCAATATTTACACAGTTCAAGCAGGACAGGATTAGGCAGGCATCTCCATCCTCCTTTCCTGCCTTCTTACTGAGGCATCCTTTGACATGTCTGCACTTCCCTTTGCCCTTTGAGTGAAGAGGCTATTGCAGAGACATCACCAAAAATCACTTGTATTAAAGCAGGTAAAGGCAACCTCTGCCCTTCAGATGTCTTGGGCAGAACTCCCAGCCACCTTGTCTAATGGTCAAAGGTTATGGTAGCTGTAGATCTGGAGAGCAGTAGGTTGCATACCCCTCTATGAAAGATATATACCCATTCCCATGTACAGAATAATTTAATCACTTAATACTTTGTGGTGTACAACTGAGCAGCAGGATTGATTGGGGGAGGGGATCAGACACTTGTCTTATGTACAAACTAAAACTAAAATGCTCCCAACAAACTTGTGACTTGTGAATGCTCTGGTAGTATTACAGAAGCTAGACTAGTATCAACTTGGTCCACATCTTGGTGGGAGGCTATGAGCTCCCACCAAGCAATACACAAATGTATTTGTGACTTTTTTAAAAGTCAGGGCAAGCCAATAATTTCCAGAGGTCAGAATCTGAAAGTTTTAAGAATGATGCAATTCTATCAAGCACAGTCCATATAAGCTTAACTTTTAGGAGAAGTCTAGAGATCTCCTTGCATAACACAGCAGCTATGCAGCAAAGCGTCTCCAAATGAGAGCCAGGTTACCACCCTCACATCTTTCTTCTTAGCCAATCTGTAAGTCCGATTCCACAGCTGGGACTAGAATGTCCCACTGGCCCGAGGTTATTTGCATAAAGGAATTTTCACTTTTTTGTGTTCCTTATCCTAGCAGTCCAAAACTTGTGCCCAAACTGGCTGGCTGGGAAATGCTGGAAGCTGAAGAACTGTTTTCTGCTTTAACACCCATAGGATTGTGCCCTTCAAATATTAGGCCAGATAAGTTAAAGAGATGACAACACCATCATTATAAAGGTCCAGTGGAAAGCTTCAAAATATGGCAAGGCATTTCTGCAAAGGATGTTTGGTGCATGTCTGTGCACATGAATGGTTTTCCCTCCCTTCACCACAGAGATGTCAGGGCATGCTGCAAACACCTCCACCCAGTTTTGCATGCAGTGGCCTATCAGGCCATCTTTTTACCAGTGAAGCAAAAACGCAAATAGAAACAGAGGTTCTGATCTGAGGCCATTAATGCCAGTGGAAAGGCGCATTCACCCTGAAAGTGGCCCCTGGCTGGGCACAAAGCACTCCTGCCAACAGTTCAGTGGGCTGGAGGGCTGGCTCAGCCTCGCACCCTCTGCGACTCTCCCAGTGTGTTGAACTTACAGCTCCCATAAGCAGAACTGACTGGGGGATTATGGGAGTTGCAGTCCCACACATCGGGAGGGCACCAAACCGAGAAAAGCTGAGCCAGGCATTCGGGCAAGAAACGAAAGCATGCCAGGAGGGCTGTTTTTTCAGCTGCCATTCGAGGAAGGCTTGGTGAATCCCATCGCAAGGGATGGGTTCTGCGGCGAGGCGGGAGGGGAGGAAAATGCACCCCTCAGTATGGCCGTGAGACCTTGCTCTCCGCGGCTGGAGCAGAGCAGGCGCTCGTGAAGGAGCTGCCCCTTTAAAAAAACCCCAAGGAAGCGCCTCCAGGACGCCAGCGACAAGCAGGCGCTCTCCAATTACAGCCTTCATTCCGCATGAATGGCTGGGTGCGCGACCGAAAGGAAGGCGGCGGCGGCGGCGGCAGCAACAAGTGCGGTGCGCAGCCCGCCAGCCCCCGCGGCTGCACCCACACCCTGGCAGGGCGTGGCAAGGAGAGGGCCGCGGCCAGCCCGCGTCGCTGCGAGCTCTGGCGCGCCACAAACTTGGGACGGGCGAGGCAGCGGGGAGCGAGTGGCCGCCGCTCAGGTAACGCGCCTGCAGCATCCGGCTGAGCAGGGGAGCGGGATGGGGCGCGCTCGGAGCCGCGCGGTGGGGGGGCGCGAGGGAAGGAGACCCGCGTCTCTGGAGAAGGGCCGCCTGCGCCGCCGGGCACCGGGCTCCGCGTTCCCCCGCGCCGGCCCGCGCCCTGTGCATAGGCGGCTCGCGGAGATCTGTGCTGCTTTCGTTGCAGGCAGAACTCCGGAAGAAAACGTAGGCGGAATGCTGCAGCCGCAGCAGCAGCAGCATCCCGGTTTACTGTCATGTTTACATCTCCTGGGAGGAATGATAAGATGAGCAGTTTTCCCCCGCCGGGCGCACGGTAGGGACGACCGGCCAACCTTGCTACGCTGTGACTCGTGTAGCTTGGATAGCGGGGTGACAGGCGGCCGGTGCCGCCTGTCGTGCCCTGGGGGCTTTAGGGGCTGGGAGAGCTGCGCCGACCAGAATACCCTAATCCGCACGTCTCTTAAAGGTAAAGACGCCGGGATGGGGAAGGCGTCACCCCAAGGAATGGGTTCTGGGGCGAGGTGGGAGAGGAGTCGGAGGGGTTCTCCTAAGGGCGGGGAGGATTACCCCGCCACCGCCACCGCCACCATCCCCATCCCAACCTGCCGGCGTTCTCTCGATCACAGCAGCCTGGCAATGGCAGAGCCGCACAGCCGGGCGCCTTTGGGCAATCCAGGAGGCAGATTTGCAGATCCCCAGTGGATGACTTCCGTCGGTCCTTAGAAGGACATAGGTGGATGGACTGACCTGAGCTGGTTTACTAGTCATTCCTTTCCCTCGCTGTCAGCCTGGGATAAAATTCTGTGCCGGAATTCTGCGTCCCCTCAGCACGCACAGTTCCCAGGATGCGTGGGAGGGAGCCCTGGCAATGGAGCCGAGCCAGGGTGCAAGCTATGCAAGTTTGTAGTTATCTTTACATTTGCCAGGATAGCCCTGGGAGCCCAGTTGGCTTAACAATGACAGCAAATAGGAGACAGAGTTGCTGTTGTTTAATGTGTAGAATATCTTGTGCATTTTATTGCATACAGACCCATTTTGTTGCATCCATTTTCTAAGCAAGTGTGTGGAGTAGGTGCTATTATGTGAAAGTGATTCGCATAAGTAAAGCTGGAACCAGTCCCTCTCCTTCTGGTGCCTGAGGGCTTCATTGGGAATTGCACCAAGGTAAGGCCAAGGGCCATTTGCATTGTTGTTAAGGGGGAAGATGCTCCCAAAGGAAGTGATTCAACACAGGAAAGCAGCAGGGAGTGGAGGTACTTAACCCCTTTCCTACCCACCACTTCCCACTCCAAGTTGCACTGCCAGCAGTTTTCCCGTGCAGGTATCCTTCTGCTCACAAACATGTGTTTTGAACCTCAGGGAAGGAGGAGGGCAGCTTGGAAAGACAATTTGAAGTCAAGTGTTGACAAGCCTCTTCCCTCCCATAGATCCTTCAGTCTAATGGCAGATCTAGATGTGGCCAAGAAAATGCAAGGTTGCCAACCCTTGTGTATTTCTCTTAATCCTCCCCTGCTCCTATGGGATGAGTCTCCCCCATGAACTGTAAAGTTTTCTTCCATAGATGAAGCATCCCTTCTTTTTTTACCCCTCTGTAAGCACCATAGCTGCATCTGTATTCTCTCAGCCAGTGCTGATTTGGGCACACGCATTTGCCATGGGAACATTTGGTACCTTTGGCTCCTATTGGCTTCTTCATCCATTGCAGTTTGAACTAGGAAAAGATGAAGGAATGGAGGAAGACTGGCTCTCAGGACTGTGTTGTTCATATTTGTAGCTAACATTTAGTTAGGTCCTCCAGCAAGGTATGGTGGTAGGTACTAGGTCAGCTGTCATGTGATGCATGAGCTTAAACCATATTAGAAACATAGAAACAGAGCGAGTCAGAAGGGACCTCCCAGGCCATCTAGTCTGACCCCCCGGCTCCAGCTGGCTCCACTCACGACATGCCCACCATGTGCATGCCCAGCCTGTCTTTGAACACCCTCACCGATGGGGCCTCAACAGCCTCCCGTGGAAGCCCATTCCATACCCTCGGGGTCCTAACTGTCAGGAGGTGCTTCCTGGTATCTAAATGGAACCTTGTTTCCCTGAGCTTTGCTCCGTTTCATATGGTCTGCCCTGGTAAAGGATCCTTGCCCCTCCCTCTGCTCTAGAGAAGAGAGGAGTGAGTGGGTGGCTGGGTCACACCTGAGCTCCCTGCAGATAAACCACCAGCTGTTTGAACAAAGTATTGTGGGAATTTTCAGTTCAAATGATTGAGAGAAAGGTTCCCTTTCTTTGCTTTAGCAGCCATGCAGGACTGCCTACGAATGACTGGATGACCAGCATGTTTCTGGCAGCTGAGGCATCTTGGCCTGTGCTGTGGTTGTGGTCTCAAGCTCTCTTCTGCCTCCTCTTCTGTGCCCCTTCTGGTTGTTGTACTTCCTGCCCCGAGCAGTGTCAGTGTACCAACTACTCCGGAGCAACAGCTGTTCTGTGCAGCGCAAGCAACCTGGAAGAGATTCCAAAGGACATTCCCAAAGACACCATGTTTTTGAAGCTGGATGCAAATAAAATCACTGCTGTCCCCAACAGCACGTTCAGGCATCTGGCCCACTTGCAAGAGATAGACCTCTCCAAAAATGCCATCGAGAAGATTGACTCTGCAGCATTCAAAGGGGTTGCTGATGGCCTGAGACTGCTCGATCTCTCTGGCAACCATATTCAGAGGATCCCAAAGGAAGCCCTGGTCAACCTGAATGCCATGATCCGTCTATCCAACAACCCCTGGCATTGCGAATGTACTTTGCAGGAAGTCTTGTGGGAAGTGAAACTGGACCCCGAGTCAGTCAATGAGATCACCTGCCAAACATCAGTGCAAGAGGAATATGCTGGCAAGCCTCTGCTCCACATTCTGGATTCAGGCATCAACTTTTGCAACATGCACCAGAAAACCACCGATGTTGCCATGTTTGTTACCATGTTCAGCTGGTTTACTTTGGTCATTAGCTATGTGGTGTACTATGTTCGGCACAACCAAGAGGACACAAAGAAGCACCTGGAGTACCTGAAATCACTGCCTAGCACCAGGGTTCCTAAAGAGACCATCAGCACTATCCTGTAGCCAGCCAAGAATAGTGACCCTCAGCTGAGCATCCAGGAGAGGCTATTGGGTGGGATCTGGGACTTTTATTTCCTACTAGTTCTTCACGGACTTTTCTATTTTTTTAAAACATGTTTAACAGGAAGGGAAAGCTTTGTTGTTGTTGTTGTTGTTGTTGCTTATCAGCATAGAGGTTCCCCATGTTGTGCGTTACGTTATAAACAGTGGGGTCTCGGCAGAAACAATGCTGTATAAAATGAGCTGCTTTCCAGGAGAATATTTGGACAGTAGGCGATTGACTGTGGACACAGAAATCTGCAATCAGGATTTGACTCATGAAGAAGAGATGTGAAAGAGGCTCACAATTTCAAGAGGAAGTATGGACATGGCTGACTTTTGTTTGACGTTTTGGGATACTGCAGAAGCACTGTCCTGCTCATGTTCTGCAGCAGCCAGGGTACCTAGGCGAGCCACATGTGGAGGTAGCATCGAACCATCAGAACTAGTAGGCACTGAAGCACAAGGAATCGGAACCCAACTCAAGATAATTCTCCAAAATTTTCTTCCCCCTTGATTTTCCTTTCAAAGTAATTTCCTTTCTATTAAAATGCATGGGAATGGTTGAATAAAATGTGGGATAGATTTTTGGGGTTGCATTTTGATAGCATTTGTGGGAACATGGGGCATCTGCACATAGCAACTAATGAAATAATGCTTTAACAAATAACAGCAAAAACCAGGGATAGCACAATGCCAGACATGCTTCTGGGCATTGAAATGGACAGTAGCTCAGGGCCTTTTTCAGATGATCAGTTTTATAGTACAGTTTATGCACCTTTGCTATTCATCCATTTGTGTCCTGGGATGCACGGGTCTTATTCTGCTGGGTACACCCTTCACTATTACGAGGTGTGCAGAGCGTGTTGTTGCATGTCACAGTCAGAGCTGTGGGATCACTCATGCCTGGTTCCCAAGGACCCTGATATATTTACCAGGGCCCCTGATCTGTTCTGCTGACTTCTGAGTGTCCATTGCTGCCAATGGAGGGCATTTGTTTATGAAAACACCACCCAGCCAGTCTCCTTTCTTGCATAGTTTCATCCCATTGCAAACCAAGTACAATCAAAGAGAAATTACCAATTTGGGATGAACTGGAGCAGGATTTGAATTACCTGAGGAATTTTACTTTATTTGAGGTGATCTGATGAAAAATGAATTGGCTAGAATTTGCCTATATAAATATAAATTAGGATATGCAAATCGTATGTAGATTCATGGCCCACCAACCCTGTTCTAAAGTGCTTAGCAACATCCATGACTGGAGTGCCTAGCCAGAGCTGCTTCAAAAACAAAAATGTTTTAAAAGCAGTAATGCTGTCCTCTGGTCTATTTTGAGAATATTTTCTCTTTAATGTCGATACAGTCTAAGTGCTAGATATGTATATATTTTAAACCTACCCTCTCTGCATGCTGCCTTACAATTCAATAGACCTTTTGCAAAAAGAAAAGGGAATGGGGAGGATACAGGACAGCAAGCAAATTGCAAGCACTGATTCTTCATCTGTGGCCTCTTTCCTCCAAGGAGATTATTCTGCCCAGAGGACCTACCTGTGGGTTGGGAAATTATTATTACAAACCATCCAAGCATGTCCTCTTTGGGCTGTTAATTGTCCTATCAAGCATATTCCTGCATTGCCCCCTGCTGTGTTTGATAAGGAGCAGAGGCATTCTTAGCCTGTGCTGAGCAAACTGCATTGTACTCATTAAATCCAGGTACAGTAGTAATGACACAGGGATGTTTCCAGATGAGGCTTTTTATCTCACAATCACTTTTACCCCCATTAACAGAATTTTATGATAGGTCCATACATGGAAAAAACATAAATTTTCCCCTTCCTTAAAAAACAAAAACCTTTCAAGTAAAAGATGGAAGGGTTCCTTTTTGGCTTGGTGCACTCGAAGCCCTCCAAGTGGCAGCAGAGCTTACAGCATTTTGCTTGGTTTATTTTATATTAATTCCAAGAAGAAGGCAGAGCCCGGCTCTGTAGAGGAGAGGGGATGTCTGTGAGGAAAAAATGCAAGGGAGGTGGTGGTGCCCTAGACATGTGTGATCATGAGCTTGGCTAAGACTTTGTTCAGGTAGGAGCTGTAACTGTATATTGGATAATCTGGAATGGCTCTACTCCTCTCATTCTCGTGCCCTGCAGCCTTCACTGTAAACACATGTCAAGCACTGCATAATCTTGCATTAAGACAGGCTGCAGTTGGTCAGCTTGGTGGGTACCAGCTCCAGCTTCCCTCCACAACTCCCAGCTGGTTGACCTATTTGCATGCTTATTTAGTCCTTGGAGCAGCCTTTTCTAAACTTGGGTCCCCCAGATGATGTTGCATTGTAACGCCAGTCACATCTGGTCATCGAGCACAGTGCTGTGGGTTATGGAGTTTGTAGTCTCACATTTGGGTGACCCCAAGCTGGAAGAGTCCACCTAAAAGGCTTGATACCTCCATCCCTAGGAAATTATGCCTCTGATTGTAGCCTCATCTGCCCCCTTCACTGCATATTCTGTTGTCTCTATATTAGCCTTTCCCAACTTGTTGCCCAGCGAATAGCTTAGAGTTCATCTTCCATGAGTCCTCACTAGCATGGTCCATGGGCAGGAATTCTGAGAGTTATGCTACAAAACATCTGAAGGACACTGAAATAAGGCTCACTATTCTACATTCCTTTATTGGGTGGCAGTAGAAGAGTTACATGAGACTCAGTGGCCATGGACAGATCGCTATGTGGTTAGTTTTGGACTGGTTTCTAGTAAGGACCTTTTCAGGATGGAGATAAAAATAGACTGGTCCTCCACAGGTGCCCGAAGGATCCATCTAGTTACCTGGATGCAATTGAGGAATTTCCTACCTCATTTGCCAGCAGTATGGTCAAAACCCTTGGCTGATCTTCAGAACACTGAAATGGCTCAGGCACTGGCTCAGGACGCTGTTACTCCTCAGCAACCTCTCCCTCCTGGTGAAGCCAGTTGAGAGCAATGAAATAGGAGGGACTTTGGCTAGAGCACTGATGGAGAAGAATGCAGGACCTAACTGACCAAGCATGGGAGAAAGACTATTTAGAGTTCTATACAGTGGTAGTGAGAGCAGCAGACTCTTCCCCAAAATGTTTTGCCACTCCAGGAAACTACACAGATGGCTTGCACACACACTTGTAAACATATGTACACACACACACACACAAGCCAACTGTAGTTGAATCTTATGTTAACATGGTCTTATGTTCTTATGAACATCTTCTTATGTTTATGTTTTTTACATACATAAAACTGCATCTAATGTAATTATTCCCAGTAGCCAAGTAATGTGTAACTATGGAGTTAAAACAATTGGAGATGTGCGTGTTCATGTATTTTAGTTGGGATGGTGTTGAATATGCTAACAAGTAAGCCTTGAAGCAGCACTAAATGCACAAGTCGCTGTTGGTTTTATTGGAGATTACTTTCAATATTGCAAATAGCCTCCCCATAATAAATAATTCCATCTTCGTATAATAAATGTGATTTGTCAATAGTATCAATTTATACAATATAAACAATCATATACAGACAATGCTGAAATCCTTTGCAAGGAAAAGAAGATATTCTTTGGATGTTCTTCACATACTAACATGGAAGCAAGGACTGAGCAAGCACCAATGACACTGGGGAGGAACTTATTATAGATGACAAGAGACTAATGGCTTTCCCCATGTCACGATGCACATGTGTGTGAAATCTACAAGTGATGTTTTCCTGAAGCCTAAAATAAGGTCATTAAACATTTGGTTTTCTATTCCTTGTAGTTAGGTGGCAAAATTGGACAAAATTGTGTACCTGAGCACAAATTATAGGCCCTTTGTAGGGACAGGGCATTCCCTTAGTCCTCTGACCTGAGCATTGCTGGGTTGACACTGAGTGTGTGTGCTGGAGGCAGGATATATTTCATGCTGTCTGGTATAGCTGTGACATTTTTTTTTACTAAGAAACTAGGTTTCAACCTTGCTCAGCAAGGCTCAGATCTTTTCCCTTGAAATCCTGAGATACAGAGCCATAATTTCCAAGCTGGTTGCTACCTGCAAAACTTTACAGAAACCAAATAAACAGCAGGATCTTCCAAGCTGGTGAGTCCTGCAGAACTCACAAACTACAGAATGTCATGTTCTGAGGACACCTCCTTCATTTTTTCTGGGATCTTTACCAGAGCTCTTGCTCTTTTCATGGAGTCCCTGCCTATGGAGAGTTGGAACATGGCCAAATGGTGCACACCCATGTCACCCATCCTGCAAAGTGAAGCAGCACAGCTATTGTTATATCTGGGATCTGAAAGGAATCAGCACAAATGCTAGTGTTTGTTCCATAGTTCTGATATGTGTATCGGTAGTCCATAATGTATCAGATGTTCTTCCTGCTTCGTTTTTCTGCCTCCGGAACAGTTTATATGAAGGTTTTGAACCACACTGCCCTCTCTTTAACCTTTGGAAGTGTGTTTGTGCTGGGGCAGTGAGATCAAGGTCATTGTCCTCACTATTGTCAAAGCCCAGTTCTAATTTTATTCCTGGCCCATTCCAGAAACACTAATGTAAAAAGAGAGCTTAAAATCCAACACTGAACACCTCACACTCGGCCTAGCAGCATCAGTCCTATGACTTGGGTGGCATCTACTACAGTGACTCCAAGGTACCTCGTTCCTTTTCTAGGCCTGAGTAGTCAGAGCAGTTACTCCCGGGTCCAGTCTTTCTCCTAGTTTGCAGTAAATCAAAGTACCTTTTTCCAGGTCAAAAGGTTTTCAACTTCAGCACCTTGGAGAGTGGCTCTCTTGCACTGGAATACATGAGGTATGACCCAGTTGTAGTGTTGAAAGCTTCCCAGTCCCTACAGCCTAATGTTGGAAGGTGGTGAACTGCTACAAAGCCTTCATATCCTTGCCATCTGCAAGAGAGACAAAAGGAGTAACTCAGCACTGACGATTTCCAGTCCCACAGGATCTGATTCTCCTTCACTTCCACCATTTTCAAACAGCTTTCAGAAAAATGAAATATAGCAATGCTAAATTTGCTGCTGGTGGCACTTTTATATCCTAATGCATTACTGAAGCCAGACTTTTCCAACTCTGAGTTGTTGACCCACAACCCCCATCAAGTCCATTCAGAGTCAGACCCAGTTGTAGGCCAACAACATCTGGGGAGCCAAGGCTAGCTTAAACCTATATTGATTGCTTTGTTTTGTACCCAGTCTTTCTAATGAGAAAATGGTGCTCAAGGCAGATAACAATCATAGGAGCCCACATTTCAAAATAAAGTTTAGTTAAAACAATAATAGGTGCATCATAACCAAAGATGCAAACACAACAATAAAAGAAGAAAATCAGCACCCAACCCAATAGACCAGCATACATGCTGAAGACCTACTTGAAGAAAAGTGTCCTGGCTTGCTGGTGGAAGGACAGCAGAAAGGAACCCAGCCTAAGCCTCCCTTGGCAGCCACAAAATTAGTTTTTTAAAGAGATTTATGTGCAGCCCTTTGCTATTATCTTCCAATAACGCAGGAACATAGGGACATATACCATGTCATAAAGTGGGCATCGTTTGTTGCTACATGCTGTCCAATGATCTCTGATTTATGGTGACCGTATGAATGAATGCCCTCCGAAATGTCCTGTTCTTCACAGCTCTCCCCAGCTTGTGCAAACTCAAAGTTCAGGCTTCCTCTATAGAACTGATTCATCTCATAGTTGGTCTTCCTCTTCTGCCTTCAACTTTCCCTAGCATTATTGTCTTCTGCAGTGGATCTTGCTTTCTCATGTTGTGCCTAAAGTACAACAGCTTCAGTTTCATCATGTTTCCTTTTAGGGAACATTCTGGCTTGATTTAATCTAGGACTCATTTATTTGTCTTTCTGTCCATCCAGAGTATTCACAAAGCTCCTTTCCAGCACCAACACATCTATTTTCCTCTTTCCAGCTTCCTTCACTATCCAGATTTCATACCCATACACAATGAATTGGGAATAATACACATTTTTGCAACAATATACATTTTAATGTTATAAAGGAGGAAAAAACTACACACACAATCAAGAATGGATAGTGCACCAGACAGCTTTTCTCTGAAGGTGGAGTTGAGCATCCAGTGTTGGTGAAATGCTTGTTGTTTGTCAAGCTAGGAAGAAATGCAAAGACCAGCACTTAGATCAGCCTCCCACAGCCTGGTGTTCCCCGGACATTCTGGTCCACAACTCCCTTCAACCAAAGACCTGTGGCCACACTGACTGGAATTGTGGGAATTGTGCTGAAAAACACCAGGAGGGTATTCAGTTTGGGCGAACCTGCTTTAAGGTGATCATTGGCAAAACATTCAAGCAGGTAAGGGATCAGTATGAAGAATAAGAAAAGGTCAGATCATGTTGGACACCAACCAGGGAAATCTCAGCTGTAAAGTTCACATTCAGCCTCCTCCTATGTGAGTTTACTTACAAGTAAGTCTTACTAAGTTTACTAGAACTTATTCACAAATAAGTGGACATTGGATTCAGCCTGAGTGACCATGGACATGTTGCTATTTCTCACCCAAAACTGCTTCACAGAGGACCGGTACAATAAAATGGGGTAACTTGATATTGTCCTTCTGGGTGGTGGGGGACACAATGGTGTTTTTAAAGTAACATACATGGCTATCAATGTGAGTCCAAATTCAACTGACTACTAGGACTATCCATGCAATCATGGTGAAAAGGAAATCAGCCATCATGCAGCTCAGCTGACTCAGTAGGAGACAAGTATGGGGGCTTAATCCACCCTGATGCTTCCTCACCAAATGGCTGATAGATATGATGGCTGATATCTATGCACAACCCTGGTTCCTGGTTTCTGGAATGAACTGCAGGTATAGCAGGCTTCTATGCCTTTCTCCCCAACAATAGAATATTTCTCTTTTTCAAGGGAGAAGAAGTAAAACCAAGAAAAATATAGGCTTTTTCTAGGCTTCAATACCTAGAAAGATACAAAACAAGACAAAAACAAAAAATGAAAAAAAAAAGATGGGTTGGAGCCAGATGTAATTACACTTAAAGCAGACCCACTGAAATCAATGCAACTACAGTTAGTCATGACTAATTCAAGGGCACTAGATCAAATCAAGCCAGAGCTTTTCCTAGAAGCAAAAATGACTAAACTGTCACTGCAATACTTCAGACACATGATGGGAAGGCAAGACTCACTGGAGAAAACAATCAAGTTAGGGAAAGTCAAAAGCAGAAAATGAAAGGGAAGACCAAATATGAAATGGATTGACTCCATAAGGAAGCCACAGCCTTGAACTAGAAAGAGCTGTATGGAGTTGTTATATATATATATAAAAAAAACCCCACAGAAACAGAGCGAGTCAGAAGGGGTCTCCCAGGACATCTAGTGTGACCCCCGGCTCCCGCCAGCTCCACTCACAACATGCCCACCATGTGCATGTCCAGCCTGTCTTTGAACACCCTCACCGATGGAGCCTCAACCACCTCCCGTGGGAGCCCATTCCATACCCTCGGGGTCCTGACTGTCAGGAAGTGCTTCCTGGCATCCAAATGGAACCTTGGTTCCCTGAGTTATAGACAGGACATTTTGGAGGGCTTTCATTCATAGGGTCAGCATAAGTCAGAGACGATTTGGTGACACATAACACACAACAGAGATCCAATTTGTTTTAATGGGTTTGCACAATGTATGATAAAATCTGGAACCAACCTAATTTAGAGCTAAATTATACATTTAGAGCAAAACAGAGTAATTATGAACAGTCAACATGACTCTTAAGACAGACTAACCAAGGTTATTTCTCTGATCAAGGCTTAACAAACAAGGGAAGCAACATTGTACAAGACCTTTAGCCAAAAACTGAAATGAGATTTTTCTGGAAAACTTTCTGGACCATGGGAAGGAAAGGGTGGCAAGGGAACATGGGTACTCAGTTGGGAATTACATTCAAATAGCAAATTAGGGTAAGTAATCAATAGAGGTTATCTAGTGGCATTCTACAGAATCTAGAACTTTTAATTATCTTTGAACAGGTTCACAGATATATATTCGTCAACTACTCAAAAAAGAATGTGTGAATAGATTCTGTTACAAAATACTGATTTGAGGTGATGAGAAAGTTCTGTCTATGGTGCTTCCATTTGTGATGAGCATTCACACATGCAAATCATATCTTGAAATTGCATTTAACAAGTGATGAATGTAAATATGAAGTGATGAATATGAATTCTGAACCAGTTCTTAATTAATGTTTTGTAAGAGTGAACTCTCAAGAATGAATGTACAATTCATGGAAGGTACAAAGGCCTTGGTCTGGGAAGTTTTGAGAGGCGGAGATCCTTGAGCTAGTGCTAGACACATAATTTCATCCCTTCCAATGATCCATTTCTTTAAGATAACCTACCATGCTGCCATTCAAGTGGCAGAAACAGAGGGTGAATAATTGCATCATAAGGTTTCTTCTCTATTCTGGTTATCTTAATAACATATCTGGACAAAAAAGACCAGCAATGTTAGAAATTAATGCATCTTGTCTTCTGAACAAAGTGAATACTGATCTTGCCCATTTTTATTAGCTATAAAAAGGTACAGGTATGAATCAAGCTATGACAGAAGTTTTGCTCCAGACTTCTTACCTGTAAATAATACTGTTTACAGAGAAGGTCACTCCATCATACGAATTTGCTACCACCAAAAACATATCTTCACCCAATGAAAAGAATTCCCAGTCCAGAGCACTGCAGCAGAAACCAGCCAAATGTGAAAAGAGAGCAGCAAACCTAGAATCACTGGAAAGCCCATCTTTTCCCCATTTAATATGTGTTCTATCATTTTCCAAATTCAGTGTAATTTCAGGAAAGTGTATAGTGAAATATTTAAGTTAGTACTTTCCTGAAAGTTTTCAAGTGTATAATGAAAGTTTACTACTATACATTTCTACTAGTAAGAATAATGTAAGGCAGAATTCTAAATTAGTCATATCTTATAATTAATGGAGAAATCAAAACATTCCTGAAAACCGAAACATATCTTTTCCTGTATTTGAATGGCACAATATTGGTGTCTTTAGCAATATATAAAAGAGGCACCTGTAAGTCAGAATGTCCTGGAACTTGACAAACATCTGTGCAGTGATGTTTAACTCATATATGGAAGAATTGATGGCAAATTTATTGTCTGGGGCAACAGGATTACTGTCATAGCTATGACTGTTTGCCACAGCGAGGAAGACTCTGTCTCGGATTTGAAAGAACTCCCAGTCAGCAGCACCAAAAGTCTACGCAAAAGAGAAGCCAAAAAGAAAAGCCTGTCAGGTTCCATTAAGAGCTGGTGTGAATAGTATGACTTCTGTTAAAAGTAACCCCAGACTTCTGACTGTGAAGGGTTCAGGCATCTTCCCCTTCACGACGTATTTCCATTACTCAGAAAATTGGTTTTCCTGGCACTTGGACCACAGGCCATAACCGCTGGCTTACCTGATGCTTCTCTCCTGATAAGGGCAACCAGCACAGCTATTGGAGAAGTGGACACTTAGGTAATTATGAGACTGTCGCAGGTACACCTTGGCATATTGGCATGTTAGTGACTTCTACTCATGATAAGGAAAGAAAAATCCAACCTGACTTTCCCTTCTCACTCCAAATGACTGAATTAATTTGAGAGAATTGATTGACCATTTTGCAGTGAGAATTTAATGAGGGGTCTTCAAATATTTTCCACACTTTTATATTTTATAAATATATTTTATATATATTTTTGTGGTGGCATTAAAAAGTTGGTACAACACTGGGAAAAATGCACTGCAAAGGAAGGTGACTATGTGGAAAAGTGATGCAATTTGTTTTTGAAATTCTTAATAAATACAGTATTAAAGTGTGGAAACTTTTTGAAGAACCCTCATATTATCTTTTCATATATGAAAATACTTAGCCTTTAAAAAGAGGCACTCCACCAAAATTAGGAAGAGCTACCCCCTTTCCTTGCCACCCCCATTTAGAACTGCCCTTTCGATTGAGGTAACCGCTTCCTCTTCTCCCACACTTGAAGAAACATCCTTATGATTTTTGAAGGAATCAAGATACTTTTCTCCAGCAACAACCACAAGTCTGAATAATTGTTATGGGACACAGTTGCAGAGGCAGACCTAGCAGTTTCTTGCATGGTTGCTAACTTAAAAAGCCATCCAAGCAAGTCAACTTGTTCGCTCTCCTGGTTTTTGCTCAGGTTATGCTGAGCTATATGCATACGCAACAGTTTTACATTTCTGAAGAAGACCAAGCTACCGCAGAGCCTCATTCCAGTGATTGCGTGACAGCGAGATTCTCCTGGAGATACTGCTGGGAAATGTAAGGCAAATGCCCCCTTCTGCTCTCTCTTTCATGCATGAGAACAAAAGAAGAGGTGTGCTGCATCTGATGAAAGTCCTGTCTAATTCAGCATCTTGTCTGCACAGTGGCAAGCAGGTGTCCACGGGAAGCACAAGAGCAGCCTCCCCCTCCTCGCAGAAGTCCCAGCAACTGGCACGCAGAGGCATACTGCCCCTGACACTGGAAGCATCGATGGCCATCCTGCTTAGCAGCCCAGGTCCGCTTGACCCGCCATGGATTGTCTAATCTCTTTTGAAAGCGACATGTGTTGAGGACCCTCAATTACTATAGTAATTGTTCTACACCCCCCTGTGCAGCTCTGCACCAGGGCATTATCCTAGCAGTAACTCATCTTTAGGGTTGACTGTATCTCCATCTTTAACTACGAAAATACAGAGGGATCCAAAGCATTCAGCTCAGCTTATGTGCCAAACTACAATTATTTCAGGGTTATTTATTTATTAATTTCTACCCTGCCTTTCTTCAAAAGAAGTGACACTCACAGTTGCCAGCAACAGGATTCAGACAGAAAAACAAACAAGCTCTTTCAAGGAAAGTTTTCTGAGCTGAGTCTTAGACCTGGCTTGATCAAAAAGTCCATGCACATTGTTAATCCTGATGGAAGATTTTCCCAATGTGTTCCTTCACAGGGAAGAATTCCAATAGCAACACCACAGAGGAAAAGCAGGGCCTGCTTCAGTTATTTGCTGGCTCTAGGCAAGGAACTGGAATGACCTCTCGTACACACACGGAGCCAAACCCCCACCAAGCGGCAACTTCATGTAGCTGGGACAGCTGCCTTCAAACTTCTCCTCACAATTGCTCACCACTTGTCTAAACCAGCTAGCATAAAAATAGTGCCCTGCCCTCCTCCAAAATTTATTCATCCATCCATCCATCCATCCATTCATTCATTATTTAGGGCATTTATAGACTGGCCATCACTGTCGTCTCTGGATGGCTTACAATATAATATAATAAGTCCTAAACAAAAATGAGAAGGTGTGGCCAAAATTGGCCTGTCAGGGCCACCAAGATGAATGCTGCAGAATGTCAAGAACAGATCAGCTGCCACATTGCTATGACAACTAGAGTGCACTGTAGCCGAGCTCTGGTTTCTAGGATGCCTGGGATGTCCCTCAGTGGTACCCCAGCATCCAGCAAGCCTGTGGAAGCAGGCCTGAGAAGCATAAAGGGCAGATAAGATAGACAGATAAGTCCAGGAGGCAGATAAGCAGGGAGAGAGCACTCTTGAGATCCCTGGAAATGCCTGCAAGCGGAGTGGCAGTACATCCTTGGTCTGATCTGCCATCTCTCCATCACTCCTTAACCAGGTGGCCAAGACAAGCTGCCTCTTCTAGCCCCAGAACTCTTTAGCAAAGGTGATACTGAGCGAAGCCATACATCCAGGTGGCTCAGGGTCCCCAGCAGATGTTTGACCCTCCTCATTGCTCATGAGAGGCTTGAAAAGACATAGGAAGAAGCCCAAACTGCCAAATTTTCACATGGTTGGATTATACTGTTATTTTACACCACTTGTAGCTTCCTCCCAGTCCCACTTCCCAGCATGAACAATTTCTTATGTTACCAACTCCCACATAACTTTTTAAAAGACAGTTTTATTATTTCCTACTACCAACTAGTGTCCTCACTGATGCTTCAATATGCCGGCATGTTTGATGGCCAGCCCTGCTCACCACTGGAATGTGCCTCTCCCCACACCTGTCTGCTAGAGCTTCCCAGAAATTGAGTTCCCTCCTCAGGCTGGAAGAGCTTCGAGATGCCCTGCATTAAAATAAATGGCCCTTGACCAGCCATATTGCTGCAGGTATTTGTGCACATGTGGGCTAAAGTTGTGTACAGTGATTCAGAACAGCGTGTGGGTGTATATTGTGAAGTGCACCTTGCACTGTGCAGGGGCAATAGTAAATCCATTGCTGTATGATCACATCTGCAGGCACAGGCTGTGCTACCTGTGTGCATTGGCATCCAGTGCCAACCTACATGTACAGGAGACAAATCTTTGGATGGATCATTTTTCTTAGTTCAATTATTCAATCAAAATAAGTATGAATTGCCTTTCTGTCCAAAAAGTACTCCAAGGTAATAGACAAACTTGAAAACTCTCTCAGTACAATTAACTAATTGAGAATACAAATATCTTTAAAACATATCAAAGAGTAGAATTTATCTCATTTTGAAATGTGTCAAAAGCCAATTGGACTAAACATGTTTTAGTGGCCCACTGAAAAATAAGCAAAGATGGAGCCAATTCGAAATGTTTAGGAGAGAATTCCTCAGGCAGAGTGCTTCTGCAGAAAAGAACACTTTTCCTGTGTTCCCACACCAGTCTAGTCTGTCTTGATGGAGGAACATATAACAAGGCCTCTGATGGAAATTAGAGCAGAAGCAGCATTCAGTGCAGATCTGTGCATGCCGTCCTGTGTCTTCTCTCTCCAAACCAGTGCTGGCCTTCACACACACGCACACACACACTAAACCCATGAGTACAACCGATTACTTGAACATGCTGGTGGATGTTGCTCAAGCATTCAGATAAGTTGCATTCATTTTCCCACCCCTGTGTCTTACCAAGATGGACTGGAACAGCTGGAAGGATCCACTGAGCCAGATGTAGATGTGAGAGTAGATCTTGGTGGATGTCCCATTAAATGTGTTAGCCACCACCAGGAAGGAATAAGGGCCAATACTGAAAAATTCCCAGTCATAGGCTCCTGAGGTAGGAATGGTCTGGTTGGCTTCAAAAAGCCCTGTCCTAGAGTTCCACTTGTATATGACACTGTCTATATTGTGGTTATTCCCTAGGGAAGAATAAGAAAAGAATGGCATGTATGGAAATGGTATAGACAAATGGTAAAACAAGATGAGATGGTTCTTCACTTCAGAAACTTGTGCTCTGTGCTGACCAAGTTTGCATGTAAGCAATGGTTTGACCCTGAATAAGCCTCTGGCTTGCTTGCCCCTCACTACACTGCCTTTCTCTGGTGTAGTTGCAAGAAATAGATCAGAGGCTTTCCTGTCCACTTTTAGATTTACCAGAGTTCTTTGTTATGCCATAACTTGAGGAACTCTGGTTAGTCTAAACTAGGGTTAGTGTACAAGTTAGGACCAGACACTATGATTAGAACAAACCAGTTTAAGCGAGCCAGAGTTCCGCCAAATTCAGAGGAAAGAGAACACTGTTTAGTTTAAACATTGACATAAAAGCTTCTAATCTCCTCTTCACAGTCAATCAGAGAAACTAAAAGAAAGGAAAAGCACAAGAACAACAGATGTTTACAGGTTTATTCAAATGACAGTCAACCATCTGGAGCTATCTACAGCTCCCATAAGCCCCAGCTAATGAGTAACTAACTGGAGTTCTCCAAGTTTTGACATAACAAGGTGCTTTGGGAAATCTAAAACCGGAAGTGAAAATTTCTATCTCCATCTTACAATTGCAGCTGAGAAAGGTGGGAGTAAGGAGCATGCAAACCTGGGGCTTGTTCACAGCTAAACCATAGTTTAGCGTTATGTCCAAACCTGGCCAACATTCAGCAAAAGATTCTGAAATGAAGGACCACACTTTGCAGATTACAGCTCTTTTCGGGTTCCCCTTGTTCTTCCAGTGCTTCTTTCTTTAATTATTGCATGCTAACTAGCTGAGCCTTTCTGTGATTTCTGAAATTAAAAGATATTTTTAAAAAATGAATATTGATTTTAAAATGGAAGGGAAAAATCAACTCAGCGAAAGGTTCATTTTGGGGTTGGCTACCTGGTGGCCCTCCAGATGTTTTGGAAGGTGATTCCCACAATTTCTTATCATTGGCCATTGCCAGTTGAGGCTTAGTCAGAAACATCTGGAAGGCACTGTGAGGCCTGGAAGGCACGCAATGAACCCCATGCATTGCCGTTGATCTTGGTGTGCCAGAGGGACCCATTTCTAGCACAGTGGGAAGCTAACACTCATTTCTGGAATGGGACCAGTCAGTAGAGCTCCCTTCTACTAGCTCCACTGCCCTGTTCTAGGACTGTCCCCAGAATGAGCATTGTGGTTCATTTCTAATGCAGTACGAAGCACTAACTTCCTGTTGCACGAGCAACATGGGCTGCACTGGGTACTGCAACAAGTTGATTGATTGATTGATTGATTGGATTGATTTTTTATTAAGGTATTTCTATCCTGTCCTATACAAAAGTCTCAGGACAGCTACCCCTGGTTTAAATCGTATTCCTCCATCTTCCACTTTTGCCAAAGTGTGTGTGGAAGGAAACTCAGAAAGAAAATGACTGAGAAGACCCAATTTATATTGATAGTATCCATGTTTATTAATGCCAAAATAATACAACACAATGAGGGTAAATATTGTTTTCTGGAAAAAATGCTATCAGACTCCACTGGGTGGCAGTAGCTGTCCATTCTATGGACATGCTGAACGTCCCATTTCCCATAAAATGCAATGTCTGAAGATGATTATGGATCCCAAAAGCTTTCCCAAGACTATCAAAGACACTTAAAAGGCAATCCAACCAGTTCATTGAGGATAAGTGTACTAGTGACTATTACTAATGATAGCAATATACTACCCTCCAGGACGCAGGTACAATGCAGATAATGCCAGTTGCTGGAGAAAAACAGCAGAAGAATGTTGCCCTCATGTGCTGCTTGTGGGTTTGCCAGAGCTAGCCCTACAGGAAACGGGAAGCTGGACCAGAGAGACATTTGGTCTGCTTCAGGGGGTTTTCTGGTGTTCTTAATTGAACCTAAATGCCTGAAATAGCAAGCCAGGCTTTCAACAAAAGTTCTGCTCACAATCTGCTTGCAGGAACTTGAGAATCAACAGGCTTCTCAAAGCCTGGATTCAGCAGGCCCAGGATCAGGGATCAGGCTTATCGGCCAGTTGCTGATGCTCCCACTATAGTAGTGGCCTACTGCTGACCTCCAGAGCATGTCTTCTAACATACGTAGTGTGACAGACAAAGGGAGCAACAGATAAGCTCTTGGCAACTGAGGGCACGACGCTGTATGTCTGCCCATAATCTTCTGGACTTGGAAGGTAATGGGAACACAATCAAGTACAGGAGAAGCACAGAGGCCAGGATGTTAGATTTGGTGGAAGCCAGCAGCAGTTGGGGCCAGAATGCCCCCTAGTGCTTGGCCTAAAGACAGTCTTCTCTCTTCAGGGTCTCAGCCAGCACAGAACAACCTACGAGTACATTTGCTGTGAGGGCGGAAGGCTTTTCCAAGGTTACAGCAAGGACTCTGCCTTTTCCTCTGGCTAGCCAGCCCATATGTACTTGTGCAATGGTGCAGAATTACGTTCAGCAGGAAAAAGGGGTGGATGGCATTGAAGGGGCACACATTGCACACTGCAGCTGCACATTTGCAAGAGTCGGGTGTCAAATGAAAGGATGTGACCTGTCCTTAGCAAATGAGATCCAGCATTAAACATCCATTTGAAAACATCAATTAAGTACTATGGGCTTAAAGGTGGTGCAGGGCAACAGTATAATTGCCTTTAACTGCGGGCCAACTTTGGGACTGAGGATGGTGGGAAAGGGTCTTTTTTCCTCCCTGTCATGGCCCCTACAAAAATGAATGCCCTTAGAATGCCACTTTCATGTCAAAAACAGCCTCCGTTCACTGAAGGGCTGATTAGAGTAAGAATGACAACATTCCCATTCCCTGAAGTGTTCCTTCTGGTTGACGAGCTTTACTGGATTAGACCAAACATCCATCTAACTGGGTATCCTGTTTCCTACAAGACCAGCTAGATGCCCCCAAGAAGCTACAAGCAGGACACCAAAGGAACAAATCCCCCATGCTATTTATTCCCTGCGCCCAGGCACCTGATGTTTGGTGGCTTTAATGAACTGCATTAGCCCTTCGCAACCTGGCACACTCCAGATGCTCTCAACATCCCCATTGGTGCTGTCTTGGGATCTTGGGAGTCATAGCCCAGCACATCTGAGGGCACCAGCTTGGGGAAAGCTGAGCTGCATTGACAAGCTTGCACTATACAAATTTGTCTATGCCTGTGTTAAAGCTTGTAGCCATCAGCAGTAGATCTTGTGGTGATGAATTCTATTAATGAATTAATTACAGGATTCTTACAAGTTAATCCTGCCTTGTGTGCACTATTTTCTTCTGCCTGTCCTGGACTCTCCCCAGATTCTAGAATTCATAGAATCATAGAAGAGTAGAGTTGGAAGGGGCCAAAAGGCCATTGGGCCTAACCCCCTGCTCAGTGCAGGGACACCAAGTTACACCATCCCTCTCAGAATGCCTCTAGTGTGGGAGAGCCCACAACTACCCTAGGTAAGGGGTTCCATTGTTGTACTGCTCTGTCAGGAAATTTTTCCTGATATTTAGCTGGAATCTGGCTTCCTGTAACTTGAGTCCATTCTTCCATGTCCTGCACTCTGGGATGATCAGGAAGAGACCATGGTCTTCCTCTTTGTGATAGCATTTCAAGTACTTGTAACATGCTATCATATCTTCCCTCAGTCTTCTCTTCTCCAGGTTAAGCATGTCCTGTTCTTTCAATGTCTCCTCACAGGGCTTTGCTTCCAGTCCCTGGATCATCCTTGTCGCCCTCCTCTGAACCCTTGCCAGCTTGTCTTCATCCTTCTTAAACTGTATGCCCAGAACTGGACACAGCACTCTAGATGGGACCTAGCCAGTGCTAGCAAAGGGGAACTAGTACTTCATAGGATTTGGAAGTGACACGTCTATTAATGCGGCCTGAAATAGCATTTGCCCTTTTTGCAGCCACATCACATTGTTGACTCACATTCAGTTTATGATCTACCACAATTTCAAGATTCCTCTCATGTGCAGAACTATTTAGCCTAGTATTCCTCATCCTGAAACTCTGCTTTTTTCCTGGTGCAGAACTTGGCATTTGCTCCTATTGAATTGCATTCTGTTGCTTTCAGCCCACAGCTCCAACCTATCAAGATCACCTTGAATCTTGTTTCTGTCTTCCAGGGTATTAGCTATCCCACCCAGTTTTGCGTCATCTGCAGATCTGATCATTGTTCCCTACACTTCCTCATCCAAATCATTAATAAATATGTGGAAGAGTGCTGGACCCAGGACTAAACCCTATGGTACCCCATTTGTTACCTCTCCCCAGTTTGAGAAAGTGCCACTGATGAGCTCTATTTGAACCTATTTCTGTACCCAGCTGTGGATCCACCTGATAGTTGTCCATCTAGCTCACTTTTAGCTAGTTTGCTAATCGGGATATCATGGGGCACTTTGCCAAAGCTTTGCAGAAGTCAAAATAGATCAGGTCCACAGCATTCCCACCATCCATCCGGGAGGTTACCCAATCAAAAGATGAAATCAGATTAGTGTGGCAGGATTTGTTCTTGAGAAATCCATGGTGGCTTCCAATCATCACTATATAGTTTTCCAGGTGGATGCAGACTGACTGCATTATAGTCATAGAATCATAGAATAGCAGGGATGGAAGGGGCCAAGAAGGCCATCGGGTCCAACCCCCTGCTGTTGCAGGACACCAGTTTACACCATCTCACTCAGATGACTGTCCAGTTTCCTTTTGAATGTCCGTAGTGTAGGAGAGCCCAGCACCTCTCTAGGCAGCTGGTTCCACTGTCATATTGCTCTGACAGTGAGGACACTTTTCCTGATATCTAGCCTGAATCTGGAATCTTATAATCTGCTCCAGGATTTTCCCAGGGATTGATATCAGACTGACTCATCTGTAGTTCCCGAGTTCTTTATTTTTCCTTTCTTGAAGATAGGAACAACATTAGTCTTTCTCCAGTCATCTGGCACTTCCCCTGTCCTTCATGATTTCTCAAAAATAATAAACAGCAGTTATGAGAGTTCTTTCACCAGCTGCCTTTTGACTCTAGGATGGAGTTCATTGGCCTCTGGAGATTTGAACTCATTCAACCCAATTACATGAACCTTGACTATTTGCCTATCATTCTTGAGCTGCCATCCTGCTTCTTCAGCTTGTACTTCCCCTTCTTCTGGAAGGTCATATATCTTCTTTTGGGAGAAGAATGAACCAAAATAGGAATTGAACATTTCTGCCTTTCCTTGTCATCTCTTATCATGTTGCCATCCACACTGAATAGCTGAACCCCTATTTCTATCCTCTGTCTTTTAGTTTGGACATATCTGAAGAAAGCTTTTCATTGTTGCTGCATTTAGCATCTCTTGCTACCCTCCCTTCATTCCTAGCTTTAGCCTTCCTGACAACTTCCCTGCAATTCTGTGCTACCTACTGGCATTTTTCCTTTGCAGCCTAGCCTTCTTTCAACTTCCTTTTTGTTTTCAGATCACCTCTGAGCTTTTTGTGAAGCCACATGGGCTTCTTCTGTTGTCTTCTACCCTTTTACTTGTTGGAATTGTTTGCAATTGTGTCTTTAGAATTTCCTTTTTCAAAAATCCCCACCCATCTTGGACTCCTTTTCTCATTAGACTTCTTTGCTCCATTTCTCACGTGTCATGGGACTTATCATTGTCTGAGTTTATTAAAAATGGCTTTCTTGAAATCCAGGTTACATGTTTATCTACATTTGGCTTTTGCTTCCTTTAGAATCAAGAATTCAAGTATGGCATAGTCACATTCTCCTAAGATTCCCATAGCTGCCACTTTGCCCAATAGGACTTCCTTGTTGGCTAGTATCAAGTCAAGGATAGCCATTCCTCTTGTTCCTTCCTCAACTTTCTGTTGGGGGGAGTTCTCAGCAACACATGTTAGGGAACTTTTGGAGGGGCCATGTTTGGCAGAATTGTCTCCCAACGGATTCCAGGGAAATTGAAATCCCCCATAACAATGACGGCATGCCTCCTTGTAACACTAGAAATTTGCTTTTCAAACATTTCATCCTCGTCTTCTCCTTGACTGGGTGGTTGGTAATAGACTCCAACCATTGTGCTCCTTCTATTTCTTGCTCCATTTATATTTTTGTAGAATGCAGAACACTCTCCTTGTTCATGTTCTTTCCACTATGCATAACTTTTTAAACTTTTCAGTTTCAACAAACAATGGGCCCAAGTCTTGTTTGGCAACTGCAACTTTGAAAGAGAATTTCTACTTCTAATCTAGGAGCAGATTTTTATGTTTGTGTGTGGCACAACTTTCATCAGCCGCATGACAACCTAGCTACTTCGGCTCTCCAAGCAAGGTACAAATTCAGTTAATATATGATAGGCATCAATTAACCAAGAGCAGCTTTGCCCTTGTCATTATATTTCCATGCCAGATGCTACATCTGTTGACTTTACACATGTGGTGCAGCTGTTACAAGCACAGTGCCAGTGTCAGGAAAGAAAGAGTTTGTCCCATGACAGTGGAAAGGGTTTTGGACATGCTGATCAGAATTATTGCCATTAGTGTTGGGATACCTTTTCTGTGATTAGCCACTGCAAGGAAAGTCTCTCCATCAATGGTGAATGCCTCCCAGTCCCGGGCACTGTGTGTGGCGATCCTCTGGTAGACAATAAATTTCTCTTTTCTGTAGTTCCACTTGTAAATTACAGAAAACTCCTTGCCCCTTTCATCCTGTACAAAATTTGCCACTGCAAGGAAAATCTGAAATAAAAGAAGCCACAGCAACTCAGTCTCTGACACAAAATAACCAAGAACAGGTGGGTTGTTGGCTTCATGCTCAATCGAATGTGAATCTGCTTTGCAACAGCTGGGCCAAAGGGTATTATGCACAGCCATATCAGTTCTGTGGAAGTCTACAGTACCACTCTTCGTATCCTCCCATCACCAGTTGCCTTACATGAGCTAGATCAACCAGAACTGCAGCAAATAAGTTGCAGGGGTGTCATCCACATGGAGAGGGAAAAAGAACTCATGCCTAGGGATGGAGGAGGAACTTATCTGGCTTGATTTTTAATGTCAACTTACCTAATTTTGGCCTCTGAAACCACTGTATGAACTAAAATTCAATTATCCCTCAACATTTTGCTGTGGAGTTGCTATGGAGTACAATCAAAACACTTTGTGCTCCCCAAAAATCTGTATATTGACCAAAACTGTGTACAAAAAGCACGTATTAGGAGAACAAAAATCTGTACACATTTTCATGCAAACTTAAAGCAAGTACAATGCTATTTCTCATAATGTTCATAGCTGGCAATTTATTTCAGGGAGAATGAAAAAATAATTTAAAAAGATCAGGTTTAAAAATCATAATTAGGTTTTTCAAATTTAAATTAGATTTCAAATTTTAATATGTAATTATTATATTTCTTGTATGCAATAGCTAGACTAATCTTACCTAATCTGGATAAAACCATGTTAGTTGTACAAGTGCAACACCTAAACTGAACTGATGCCACTACATGGTGTTAAAGAGGATTTTCTATCTCGAGAACTAATTTGATCATTTCTCAGATATGAATATTCACAACCTGCCAAACACATGGATTTAAGTTCCTGATGAAAATACAGTGTTCAAGTCTCCTCAGTCCCTGGGAGGATGATGGACATCCTATGGAAGGCCAAAGGGGTACAAAGGTGGAGGTTGCCTCTGCACTTCTTGCTCTTGCAAAACACTTAGTTGGCTGATTTCCACCATCCAAGTGCTTTGCCCTGTAGTGTGAGGTGAAAAGGCCAAGGTACCACCAGAATACCACGCATGCTGGAAGCGCCCATCTCCTGCTCCCTAGAATGCCCATCCAACTCCATTGCAAAGGTCACGCCTGTGAACTAGGAGCTGCAGTCAGAAACTCTGACCTTGGACTGTGCTTCTGAGATTGGAGCTGGGGCAGCATCCAGTGACCGTACGACTGCGTCATGGGATGTTCTACTTCTGCCTGCCAGCCATGGGCATTTCTGTTTTATTTGTTCTTGTGAAGGTGAGGCTGAGCCAAGACAGAGTGAAAAGGGGCAATACTGGAAAGGAAAGGAAAGGAAAGGAAAGGAAAGGAAAGGAAAGGAAAGGAAAGGATCATGTCCCTTGTACAGGGTGTTACTGTGCTGTACGGACTTGCTTGGGAGTCTGCCCTTGGAACATCTCAGTAGACAGTTCGCTAGCTTCACAAACTGTCCTGCATGTTGGTCATAAGAAAGCCCTTGTATAGAGAGAAATATTTTAAAGAAATTCCCTGTAGAGGTTAAAGGAAAAAGCGAGCATGTGCAAAATGTATACAGTGTGAAAAAGCGAGCATGTGCAAAATGTATACAGTGTGAAAAAGAGATGTAAGGTCTGGTTTTGCGGAATATGCAAGGATATGAACACAGCTCAATCCTATGCAAGTTTAGACAGAAAAAAGACCAACAGTGCCCATCATGCTGTCTAAACTTGCATAGGTCGTACACTTAGATGTAAATGAACATTGCTTAGTGGTCAGCCTTGTATCACTCATGCTATATCAGTGAGTAACCTGATTTGAACTGATGATTTAAAAAAGGTCTTTTTTCCTGATCTAAATTTTTAAAAATCCAGCAAATATAAAATTGGCCAGTTTCTTTCTCATTCTTATTTAGATCTTTTTACTTGCTTTGATTTAAATCTGTCACTATGATTTATTTTGGAATAAGTGATTTGAAAGCTTATCGGTCAATTCTACAATGTTTACAGCTCAATACTGGCTCAGAGCATGGCTGAAAAAGCCAAACCACAGTCTTAGCTTTCACAGACAATTATGGCATCAGAACATTATGGGATGGCAGCTGCTCAAGATGACCTCCTCAGGAACCCTTCCAATGATGGCATTCTCAACTGTAAGGCCAGGAAAGGTCAACTCTGGCCTTCCAGACATTTTGGCCCAGAACTCCCATCATCCATAACTAGCATAGCCAATGATAGGGGATGATGAGAATTGCAGTCCAAAACCTCTAGAGGCCCACAAGTTGCCCACCCCTGCTTTATTTCTTAAAGCATACAAAGAAGTCAGCTGTTCAAATACGGTGAAAGCAAGTTTAAAAAGAGGCAAAGGGCATAATTTGGCCATGATGTGCAGGCAAACTCCACTGGATATCAGTGATGCCAGTTAGTTCTCACTGCAGCTGTCAGCTTAACTTCCTAACAGGCTGTTGAAGTCTACAAACCTAATTGCTTTGTTCATGCATTTGGCAGCTTCTGATGGACAGTTGGGGGCCGTCAACTTTAGCGGAATCTGATCAATAGGGCCACGCCACAATACATTTGTAGGTTTTTGATGTGCCGCAGTCTTAGTTATTTTTCTTGCCACAAGAAACAACAGAGTTATTCTTCTGCACTTTGGCTGGGATCAAGAAGGTTTCACAAAGTTAATCTATTTGCTGAACTATTTTTAACCCCCATCCCCAGACCTCAGCTCCCAACATTCAAAAAGTTTGAAGAATGCACAGAAGTGGAAAATTGCCAGCATGTGCATGCTATACTTTTTCTCCTCAGCCCCTTCTTTACCACCCTGACTTTTATTAATTATGGATATTTATAGCTCACTCCAGCAAATGCTCTCAGTATGGCTTACAATAAAATAACAAAACCATTATTGAAACAATAAGTCATATTAACCAAAATAAAACAAGACACAGTAGAGCCATAAAATGAAGAGAAGAAAAGCCATTTTTCAAAAAGCTCTTGCACACAAATGGATGCTGCATTTCTCTACACCATGGGTCCTCAAACTAAGGCCCAGGGGTCAAATCCGGCCCACCATGCTCATTTGGACCCACTGCCGCCCACCTTGCCCCACGCGCAGGGTGGCAGCAGTTTGCTCGCTCGGAGAAAACGATCTCCAAGCGAGCAAGCCGCTGCCTCGTGTGCCTACCTTGTGGCATGTGCCTCGCCTCGCCTCGCCTCACCAAGCGCCCCGGCCTTGCCTCAGCAAGCACACCCACATGCGTTGCCCCCATGCCGGCCCATGCACACCGCCAGCATCACCTTTCTGGCCCGTGCCCAGCACCAGCAGGTTTCAACTGGCCCCCTGTTGAAAAAGTTTGAGGACCCCTGCTCTACACACTACCCTAGGAGTAAACCTCAATGAAATAATGGTTCTGTATAGACATATATAGGATTGCTTTCTGATAGGCGCTTCCAGCCTATTATTATCTATTAGCAAGGCCCCTCTTAGAACCCCTTCTCCCAGATTTTTCTATTATTTTGCGTGTTTCTTCCAAGGAACCTGAGGCAGTGTACATGACTCATCCTCTTTCTATGTTATCCTCACAACAATCCTGTGAGATGAATTAAACTGGGATTCAGTGACTGGCCCAAACTGAGCTTCATGGCTGAGTTGGCATGTGAACCACCATCCCAGTCCTGAAACTCTGGAATGACTTTCAAATACAGCAGTGGGTATCCTTAACTTCCTTCCTTCCCTCCTTCCATACAAGGCTTAATGTTTTACATGCATCTGGAAATTATTTCAAAACTATTTATCAATGGGATAGTTCTGCTGTTGATATTGACTGAAACAGTTAACTTATTGTCTGCCTTTTATCTTTTTTCTGGCAGTCTTAAATTATTTTAAAAACATATTAAATGATAGGCCAGGCATGATTTTACAATGTTTCAAATGTGTAAATGAAATGTAAGTATTTGGAATTTCCAGACACACCCTGACAAAATGAACATTTCTGAAACTTTAAGTGGCTTGAGGTGGGGCTGGGGGGAGCAGGTGTATCCTTGCTTTTGCATCAAATAATACTGGAAAATATTTTACCATTTACCTTTTTCCCAATAGTGAAGAATTTCCAGGATTGTGCTTGGTAGGTGGGGAGATTTTGGTAAGCCACAAATTTCTCATCTGTCCATTTGTAGATAGCTGAACCACGAGGGATACATCGATTAGCAGTAGCCGCAAAGAGTCCCACTTGGGGGATGATGAAGACTTCAATGCCCAGGGTTTCAGAATTTGTCACCAAACTTTGATGTTCTTCTAGGTAGTCCAATCTTTCTTCAACTGGAAAGCAACAGACAGCAGGGGCAATTATATAATAAGATAAGACTTATTATATTATAATAAGATTCTGCAATCTAGTCTGTGATCCACTAAATTAAACAATTCTGAAATGCATTTTTGCACTCTAGCCCACCCCACTCCCTTCTGTGATTCTCAAGACGTGTGTATGGTTGAAATGCCCTTGTGGTCTGTCCCCCAAAGCTGCCTTTACTTGTCCTTACTCAACTTACCTTCCAGGTTTAAATACAACTACTCTCACATCCCTGTAAGTTATCTTACAAACCTGGCTGAAGCCAGTGAATCCCTTTCTCCTTGACAAATGTTTTGAGAAAGTTTCTTAGCTGCCTCTACATTGGCAAGAAAAATGGAGACTTGTCTAGCATAATAGGTAATATATGGCATAGCACTCTGGGAATATTGATCAATTGGTTGATCATCTGCCTCTGCAACCATCGGTTTCCCCTGAAGAATCCTGGGAAGTGTAATGTTGTTACTGAGCATATCCTATAAGAGACAGCTTCCCTCCTGCGCACCCCATATAATTACAATTTCCAAAGTCCTTTGAGAAACTGGAATGGCTTTAAACCAGTTTTGCTGTAGTATACATATGCCTACTGTAGATAAACAGCACAATAATATGAATGCCATCTATGAATATGGAGCTTTACAAAGTACTGGTATGATAGATACAAACCTCACTGGGATTCTAATCAAAGGAGCCTTAGGGAAACGTTATTAAAAGTGGGGAGAGGGAGGCATTGGAAGGCCCAGAAATAAGTGCTTATTTCAATCACACTGACCTTCTTTCTAGTAAGACAGACAAACTGGCCCAGCCTGGTGCCTTCCAGCTGTGTTGGATTGCAACTTCTATAACTGCAGCCAGCAAAGCCAATGGGAATCGCAGGCCTGTGCTGGCTGGGAACTGGGGGACTTTCTGTCCAATGCAACAGGAAGGCACAGGATTGAGGAAGGCTCTAATAAACTATAAGGACTAAAGCAATGATCCAAAAGCTTTGAGAACAATGGTTTCGAGGACATAACCTATTCTTTGCTCTGAATCACCATATTTCCCTCCTTTTTTGAGTTAGTACCATTAAAAGCCCCAAAGAACTACACTGCAAGTGTGCCGAAAGCATTTACCTTCTAGCATGGAAATCCATTCACTACCATTACAGAGATACAGTCCTTTCTGAGCAGCATTAAACCAGAACTGGCCACTTTCAGTCTTAGTGCAGGGAGGGCGGGACCCCAAAGTCACCTTCATGTCTGCTTCTAAACAGTAAAAATGAAACAAAACATGAACAGCAGCTTAATACTTGCTTTGGCACCATAAGAAATGTTTGTTGCATATGTCTCTGGATATGTGTGTAGAATGACAGAGAGAGAGGCAGAATGTACCCACACAGTATCACAAGATAATGGCAAACAATTAAAACAGCTCTGAGAGCCCTGAATACATGAGTGATTTCGTAAATGCATCTTTTCCTCTGTAACCCTCTACATATAAATTGAATTATATCCAGACTTAGTTATGTTTAGGTAGAAACTCTGAAATCAGTGGGCCAAATTATTTATTTATTAGATTTATATCCCACTTTTTTCTTCCAACATGCTCAAACAGCTTACATCATTTTCCTCCTGTTGCTTCAATCTTATTCCTACAACAACTCTGTGAAGAAGGTTTGGCTGAGAGTTTGCCCAGAGTCACCCAGTTGGCTCCATGGCCAAGTGGGGACTAGAACCCAGATCTCCTGAGTCTCAGTCCCATGTCTTAACAACTATGCTCTCAGTTACACACTGAGAGCATAGTGAAAATTAAGTCATAAGTAACTTAATTTCAATGGATCTGCTATTCTAATTATGTTGAAGTCTGAATCCAACCCATACCTCCTGCCCCGTTTTCCTCCTGTCTCGTTTGTTGCTGGACAAGACGGTTTTCATAGAAGCCAGTGTGTTTATCCACCTTGGTACACTTAGCCAGAGCAGTTACACAATTCACTTTTCTCTGTTATTTGACTGCTGCTGGTCTTTTGAGTGTCATGAGTAATCATTTGCATGAAGTCTAGCTCTACAAAACTATACTTTCATTCCTTTAAGGAAAAGTAGAAGACAGCTTCCATTGAAGTGAGGGGACACTGAAGTAATTCCTTTCAATTCCTTCATATAGCTCTATTGCCATGATAGATTTTGAGAAAATTTGTGGCCCATGGGCACCCATGAACATTGTTCTGTAGTTCCCATCCAACTAGTTGTGACTGCATCCTATTAAAACCAATAGGACAACTCTACTTGTAACTAACTTAAGAAATGTTGATTTCAGTAAGTTTTAAGCATGAATAACTTTGCTTGGATCGGGGCCTCTGTGAGAGTAAGTGGGGTTTTAGAGGCAAGGCCTACTCTCAGTTCTAAATCTGCTGGTTGTCTCTCTACCTCCCCGTAGTTCTTTCTCTAAGGAAGGTGTCATCCCCTCTTAGATTTTGGACTTCTACTCCCATCAATCAGCCACTGTTCAGGAATGCTGGAAACTGTAGTAGGGAATCAGGACCGGGAAGGCTAATACTAAACAGAGCCATAATTCAAAATGTGTTGAGGGAGTACTTATCTTCACACATGGAAATCCACCCATTTCCATTACAGAAATACAGTTGTTTAAACTAGTCTCTACTTGGAAATAGCCACCATCTAGGGGGAAAATGTATCTTATAATCTGTGAAGTTGGCCTGCTTGTTTTTCTGCAAATACAAGAGCCAACAAGTTGTGGTGCAGCATTGGCTTCCAAAGGCATGTGCTCATGGCAAAATAAGCACCTACATCACACAAGATGGTGGGCAGATGTTCTCTTATAGGAAAATTATCTCCATGTATAAAAATGACACAGGTAAAGCAGGCTTGGGATGTTAGACTCCTGGTTTTCTAGCAATGCCCATGATTGCCAAACCACCCAAGCCAACAAGACTGAACATAAAATATCATGAGATTGGCTTAAGTAGTATGAAATGCAAAGAACTACCATAGCTGGGGGTTTTAGCAGTAAAAGAAAAATGGTTCTTTTGTTCCTTTCTAGTTTCTGCCTTTGGAGGAGTGTTCTTTCAGATCTTCCAACTGTATACCTAGATATAGGAGTGTATGCACACATGCACACCCATCTGCTGTGCCACCCTATAGCATTCCCCAGCCAGCATTGTAATGTTGGGACTTTTGTCTGTCTAAACATACACAGGACCAAACTCTTACTATGCCCTCCCTAGCAGTTTATCCTATGAGACTGCTGCTTAGCCCCTGGGGGATCATTCTATGGCATCCCACAGAGTTACATTTGTCCCTCATGTGGTTTAATATCTAAATTAGCCGTGGGCATCTTGTAGCCCTCCAAATGTCATTGTACCGCAAACCACTCACCTTTCACCACTGCTGTGCTGGCTAGGGTTGATGGGAGTTGCAGTCCAATAAGACCTTGAGGGCAACATGTTGCCCCGCCCTAACCTACATGACGCCACTGGGGAAGTCCTCTGAGGAGGTGAGGTGCCGAATACCCAAGTGCATCTCTCCTCCTCGATCCCTGGTGAGTGCTTGGAGTGCCCTAGCAAGCAACTGGAACCAATAACTGGCAGACGCATTGCAAGCCTTGAGATGGGCATTGGTGGCTGGTAGCTCCAAGGTCCATGGGGGGTTGACCGTCCTGCTCTGTGCCCACAAATGTCAAGTTCCTGCATTACCTTCCAAAAGATCAGGCAATTCAGTCCAAAGGTCAAGGCCGCATGGTTTGTTCATCCGGAGTTAAAGTCAGGCAGGAGTGCCCAAAAGAATGTCCAGGAAGGAAGCCAACATTCTAGGTATCTGATTAGTCTTAACGAAGCTGAAGATGCCTATAAAAATTCTTATTGTTTGCCACGAAGAGCAGGCTCTGGCTGATCTAATTTATAGCCAGCCATAAATTATTATTACAGCTGGCTAGTTAGGTCACCATGCTGTTTTACGGGAGGATCCACACTCAGCCTGCTGCTTGAACATTTGCTGGATCCACCAACTCCTCCTTTCTACAGGGTGAGTTCCTTCCAACTCCAGCTCCTGGTATGATTTCCTTGAGGGATTCCAGCAACTGCCCAAGAGGGCCCTGGCTGCTCCTCTCCTAGAAGGCAGTTGGCTATAGCTTCCCATTACCTGGCTCCCTCCAGATGTTTCAGAATGCAGTTCCCCCTTATCTCCAACCAGCAGAGCCATTGAATGTCCGAGTTAATATATTACGTGCAACCTCAAAGCACTGTAGCAGCTTTCACTTAGTTTTATGGCCCAATGTGAAATGCTGGGTGCAACTTAATCCTCAATGTTTAGGGTACAGAATGCCCCAAAGGAACCTCCCTCCCTCTCTCTCACACACACACCTGATTTGTGACATCTTCACAAGAGGATGTGAGTACTGCCCCCTGGAGTTAAGGCAGGTAAAGCCAAGGTACTCTCCTTGTGTGTTGCTGTTCATTAAAATGTAAGCAGCAAACACATTCATGCCATTTTCTTTTGCACTTGAAACCAATCCAATGTGCAAGTGTTTCAGTGAATGCTTGGAGACTGCAAGGAGTGCATGGGAAAAGGGTTCACCAGCTACAAGGAAGGAACCCCCCACTATCACTAAGGGAAGAAAGAATGAATGAGAAAAAGGGTGGCTCTCTACCCTCCTGATGCTGCAGCACAGTCAGCCTGGGCTTGTTCAGTCCCCAGGCCCTCTTCCGAACAATTTGGCCTCAGCTCGCATTTTTCCCTAGCACACCACTGAGGATCACATAATGCTTTGCTAACATAAGAGCTCTCTCCACTTCAGCTCTGTGCTGACTGAGGGGCCTGTGCATTTCACCCAGGGAAGGAGGCACCAGCGCTATAGCCTGCCTTTGAGGTTTCAGAAATGGAGGTCAGCTGCCACTTCTCTGTCCCAGAATGCCTTGTGTGGTGCCTGTAACACCAGCCACTAACCAATTAATTCAGACTGCCAATCTCAACGTGGATTTGGCCTAACGTGAAGACATCATGGTCATGACTGGTCAAATCTGGGGGTGTTTCTGTTTCTTCCCCCACCCCATGCTTTTTTTACCAGCTAACCTGGAGACCAATAATACAAGTATTGATTTACTGTGGACTGGGGGAGGCCACATGAATTAGTACAGGTATCTTTTTAAAAAAAGACAGAAACTTAGGAGCTGTTTGTATGACACAATAGCCACAGAGAACTGGCAGCATATGTAGGGTACATGCAAACACCATTTTTATATGTTAAAAACACAGGATTTGTTGTGTTCTGAGAACCCAGCAAACACAATCCAGTTTAGAGCCATCCAAGGGCTGTCTAGCCCTCACATAACCCCTTCTCAGTGGGTTCACAGAACACAGCAATTCACAAACAAGAGAGTGACAGCAAATGCTGCAGCACCTTCCGTTTGATTAACCCATGTTGGGCCATGGTGTGCCACCTGAATCCAGTCAGAGTGACTACAGCACAGCTCTCTTCTATGTTTTTCTAACAGATGCTGGTGAACCTTCTCAAAAACTGTGTTACATTTTACTGACCGTAAGGGTATTTCAGCAGCTCATTATCCACTGGTTTCACAGGGAGGTCCTGCAGAATTTGGGGGATGGACAGCACTGCTAGGTTAAACTGCATGCCAGTGCACATCCGTGAGGTAGCATCAGATCCTGGCAACAGGACTAGCTGTCTTAGCAAGCCCTGAAAAAGAAAGGAAGAAAGGCTAGGGAATCAAGGCTGGTATTCTGGGACAATGGTCACTAGTGGACTGAACACTGCACTTCAATTCTATTCACCACTTATGGAATGAGCCCCAGAGAAATTTCCCTGGTGCCAACATTACTCTCCTTTCAGCTCCAGGTGAAAACATTTCTCTTTTCCAGGCATCATAAAAATTTTAACAATTTTATGATTGTTTTTAAATTTTAACAATTAATTTTAATGTTTGTAATAATTTATCATCTTATAGTTGTCCTCCCCATGGATTTATTGTAATGACCTATTCATTACTGTTTTATTATAGTTGATTGTTTTTATTATTGTATGCTTGTATTAGTTTTATTGTATAATGATTGAGTAATTTTAAGCCACCCAGAGACTCCACTTAGATTATGGGGCAGCATACAAATGCTAAATAAATGAATGAATGTGAGGTGCTACAACTTAAAACTGGCTGAAAATTATAATCTCTGACCTTGAAGGTCCCAATGCCAGAAGTATTTGAGTTGATGGGGGCTCAGTAGCCTTAAACCATGCTCTGTTTTGGAGAGTTTTCTACATGTTTCCAAATTCATATTGAAGTTTCCATGGAATAATAAACATTTTGGGGGAATTCTGATTAAGACATTCTGGGGGATTTACATCAGATGACAACTCCTTGGAAGGGATATTCAGAGGACAGAAGAATGTCTTTGGGTGCCTTGCATGAGGAAATTTCATTAGATTACTCTGGGGCATAATCCAGAAATCTTGTCATCTCTGACCCAGCGTACAACTGCTGTTTCATATACTTAGAGTTTATCTGAGTGACTTTTGGCTGCAGCATGTGTTATTTTAACATGCATTTCTTAATGTATCATGATAATGCATTGCACAGTCATTTCTAATAGTAACAGAACTTTTACTTGCTTTACTTGCTTTGGGTTCTACTGACTTTGTGCTTTTGGAGCTAAATGTGTTGTTTCAGTGATGAGAGAGGTTACATTCTTCATGGGCTCAGGGATATCCTATTTTTACTGCCTCATCTGATTGAGGGCCCAGCTCTGCAGCTAAAAGCAGATGCTGAGGTTGAGCTTGTGGGTTTCAGGGCTGGATGCATTTTCCTTTATCCTTGGTATGATCAAAGGAGCAGCTTTGTGCCATTGTGCCCATGATGGGCACAATGCAGTGCCAATGAGTAGTACCTTTTGATGCATGTTTGGGGTAAAGTTCAGGAACCAGTGAAATGCTAACAGTGCTTGTCCTGACCATTGTTTACCGCATCATTCTGTAGTTGTGGATCAAAGCAAAATGTCACAGGCAGGAATTCTGGTCCTTCAGAAAAAGGCTGATATGAAGGTATGCTTGCACCTGCCTTTTCGACAACACCCATGTTACACCCATGTTAGCATTGCTTTGTCGTAAAATAAATCACTTCTGTTATGTTTGCACTGCTCCTTTGGCAGGAATTAAGCTATTACTGGAGTTAATGTGGAGAAAACTAAGTGCTAATTGCTAATGTTACTACTGAAACAGGGAAACAGTGGCTCTCCCATTCAGGGGACAACCAGTACCAGTTCCAGGTTTGGAGGCTCCTTGGACAAGATACCCTCAGGGGGCCCTCTCCCACAGTCAATCTCCCTTTGTCCCACCATTGTCTTCCTCCTCTTCCTCCTCTACCACATTCTCATCACTGCTGCCACTCTCTGGCTTTACAAGGCCAGGCAGTGACACCTGCTGCTCTTCAGCCCCACCACTGCCATGGTCCGAGTCACAGCCAGGGGCCAGGAAGAGAGGAAGCGAATGCAGGGATTCTTGCCAGGTATCCCCTGCTCTGATATGGGTCCTGCACAGCTGATCCTAACCATGCCTTCCATGCTTTAAGTGTGTCACAAATGCTGACCATTCGCCTAGGAAAATAGGAGCTTGTTTTATTATCTATTGGTCTTGTTTATTTTATTTTTTAACAGCTGAAGCTCTCTGGATGGTGAACATAAAATGATAAATGCAACAGAATACAATATTAAAATAAAACAACAACATAGCCGCACAGAAGTATATTAAAAGTTAAAACCATGTGTTAACGATTGAACAGCTAAATGCAGTCCATGATGCTGGGCCTGCTTGGAAGAAAAAAGTCAGCATCACCTACGTGCTGTTTGGAGTTGGTAAATGTCCACAAGGCAGTCTTAACCTGGCACCAAAAAGAGAAAAATAGCACTGAGTTGGCCTCAGTAGGGGGTTTGTTCCATAATTTGGGGGCTACAGCAGAGGAGGGTTTCATCTTTGTTTCCAGCAGCCAAGCATCCCTTGGAGGAACCATTTGGAGGAAGGCCTCGGGCATTGGGTGTAGTGCCTGGATGCACTGGTACTGTGGTCCCAAGCCATGTAAAGACTTTATTGGTTAGAAAAGGAATGAAGGCTAGAAAAAGAGAATGCCTCTTTCTTTTGTTACAATGGGCCTTTCAGCCAACCCACCTCTTTGTCTAGGGTTTCAAACCCTCTTTAATGATCCCATGTGGTTGCAGTGGGGGCAGGAGAAGAATGACTGGGGAAGAATTTGGAACAACAGAGCAGTGGCTTCTAAGGTTACGAAAAAGCATGACACAGCCCTTCTAAATTCTTTCAAGCTAGAGCAAGGAATCAGGAATGAGGAGATAGAAACAGAAAAATAGGAGCAAGTCAGAAGGGGCCTCCCAGGCCATCTTGTCTGACCCCTGGCTCTAGCTGGCTCCACTCACGACATGCCTACCATGTGCATGTCTAGCCTATCCTTGAACACCCTCACCAATGTGGTCTCAACCACCTCCTGTGGAAGCCAATTCCATATCCTCGGGGTCCTAACGGTCAGGAAGTACTGCTTGGCATCCAAATTGAACCTTGTTCCTTGCGCTTGGCTCCTTTGGAATGCATCCTGCCCTCATCTGCAGGGGAGAACAGGTCTCTACCCACCTTGACAATGTACACCATGATATCCTGATTAGCCAACTAGCTAAAAATGGGCTAGATGGAGCATAACCACTTGGATCCACGGTTGGCTACAGAATCAGACCAAAAGAGTGCTTATCAATGGCACCTTCTCAAACAGGGGAAAACGATGACTGGGGCACTACAGGGTTTAATCCTGGGCCAAGTGCTCCTCAAAATTTTTATTAATGATTTGGATAAAGAGGTGCAAGGATTGTTCATCAAATGTGCACAACATTGGATGGGATAGCTAACGCCCTGGAAGAGAGAAACAAAAAATTAAAGTGATCTTGATAGGCTGGAGCACTGGGCTGAAAGCAACAGAATGAAATTCAGTAGGGATAAATGCCAAGTTCTGAGCCTAGAATAAAGAAAACAAACGCATATTTACAAGATGCAAGATAACTTGGCTCAACAATACTACACTCAAGAAGAAACTTGGAAGTATTGTAGGTGAGTCAAGCTGACTATGAGTCAATATTGTCAAGCAGCTGAAAAAAAGAAAAGAAAGGAAAAGAAAAAAGGAAAGCAAAGCAAAGAAAACAAATGCTATTGTGGGCTGCATTATCAGAGATATCATTTCCAAATCGAGTGAAGCACTAGTTTCCTATATTCAACACTGCTTATTTAGCATCTTGAGTACCGTGTCCAGTTCTGGGTGCCATTGTTTACATTTCTTAAACAAACTGGAAAAGGTTCAGAAGAGAGCAACAAAGATGATCAGCAGATTGGAAACAAAGCCTTGTGAGGAGAGATTGAAAGAATAGGGCATGCTTAGCCTCGAGAAATGAAGACCGAGGCATTCTACTAGTACTTGAAAGGTTATCACAAAAAGGAAGGGCAGGATCTCTTCAAGAGATGGAATAATGGGCTCAAGTTGCAGGAAGCCAGATTCTAGAGGACTGTTAGAGCAGTACAGCAATGGAACCAATCACCTAGGGAGGTTGTGGGCTCTCCCACACTGGAGGCATTCAAGATGCAGCTGGTCAGCCATCTGTCAGGGATGCTTTAACTTGGAGTCCTGCACTGAGCAGGTGGTTAGTTGGACCAGACAACTTTATTAGCCCCCTCGAACTGTACTATTCTATTAATCCATGGTTTGTATTTACCTAGCAAAAAATCACTGAAATTTTGTGTCTGAAACCTAGTTTTTTAATTACTTTCCCACACTATGGTACATCCCACATTTACACACAGCATTTTAGATACATTTTTCTACATCCTTGAACTGGTTCTAGCACTCTCTTAATACTCTAGCACTCTCTTTTAGCCACCCATCCTAAGCACACATCCAACACAGTCAGTGCAAATAGTTCGGCTTTCCACTGATATGTTTGCTTCAGGCTATTTTTTCATAAAACAAATTGAATGAACCCCTTTAAATGCAGGATAAAACTCAATCTAAGTCATGTCAGCTAATGTCTTCCTCCCTTCCTGTTTGCCCTATCTGTTCTTGCAAAACTCTGCCTAAGATACATATATATTTAATCAAACATTATTTTAAAAGAAAGTGAATGGTCATTTATTTCTAAGTAGGGGGCAAAGCATTTTATTGTAAAGAAATGTTTGGAAGAGCAATCTTTTCTGGGATGCAAAAGAACTTGATTGTGTAGAAAGCTGTTTGTTATGAAATTCCATAGTTTGTTACTGTGACATGTGAACTAAGAGCAGTATGTTGTTCAAGGGTTAAACAACCCAGTGCTCTGAGTTCATAGAGGGTAAATGACCCAGAGGTTAGTCCAGCAACAACCATGGGTTAGACTCTAAACAATCCAGTACTCCCTGCGTTGGCATGTCACACACATAACCGATGACTTAGCCAATCACATGTTGTAGAGTAAAAGTGAAATTAGCTGACATACTGCAGCAGCTCGCCTGCTCTTTCTCAAAGTGTGACTTAATTAACCAATATTTGCTATGACATGTGAACTGGGTCTATGTTCTAATGTCAACTACTTGGATTTATCTGTCTTGCCTCTAGTCTTTTTGTATGTGATTTTTAGTTATGACTGGCTGTCCTTTGCCTTTGAATGCTTGTTATCAATTACCATTTCACCCTCAAATTGATAATGTGGAACCTTCAGATCATCCTCCCAAAAGAACAGATAATCCTGGGCTCCTGTGGGCTTTCTTCCACAAGTCCATTTAAAAGAAAGAGAAAGAGAAGCTTATCTTTCATTCAATCATGTCTTCCAGTCCCAGCTACACCATATTGTGTATGTGTTGCAATGTCTGTTCAGGAAGTCTGTTGCCCCATCCAACAAAATGGCTAACACTTATCATCAGTCACCCAGAAATGAACAGAAGCTGTTCCATCTATGAAGCTTATCTGGAAATGCCACAGGGGAAAGAAAAAGCCAAAACATTCCTACAAGATTAGGCTTCTACTCATGTGATTAATTTTCTCAAGCTCTGTTCTGCAAAGCACAGACAGTTTGATCTTGTGCAGAGCTGAGCTTTGTACATTCTGGGTAGCTTAACAAGGCCTGAATATGACACTCACCTGGTGGAATTTTCCCTTTACAGCACTGTACCAATGCACTTAGTGATTTTTCCCCCTTGTATCAAGTTCTTAACATCACAGGTATCCTTTCATGGCCTGGGCCTCAAAACCTCAGTATCTGTTCTTCTGGGCATTGCTGTGCCTGAGTTTGAAGTCTTTCAACTTAATCTGACATCTTTTTTAAAGCTCCCATTTGAAGTTGGCCTGTCTGCTAGAATGAGTCTGCATATTCAATTTGCTTACCTGCTCAGTGCATGCATCAAGTGAATACATGGAGTGCAATATGGAACTGCGCCTGCCCTCTGTGTTTGCTGGCTCTGCCCCAGATTTCTATGCCTTCTGCAGACTGGGTTTCTCTGCAGGTACAACTGATGGATTCTTCCATGTGATCAGATTCCCAATTGTATGGAAACTCCCTAAGTGCTTCTCATGCCTTCTACTTAGTGCAGAGAGTTCGGGGCTGAAGGTTATGATCCCACTTCCCAGTCCACGCATTTAGCAGAAACGTGTGCCAAGCAAACGAAAATGGGGACAGTGCCAGAGATAGAAATGACTCTGTGGTACAATCAGCTGTCCAGAACCCTGGAGAGCAGCATTCCTGCTGGAGGGAAGGATAAACTAGAACATTTTGTTGCAGGTCCCACTCATATCAATACTGGTTTAATAGCAATCTATTTTCTCAGGATGGCTTGGAAGCTGTATTTCCATAATGGGGACTTGAAATCTCCAACAAGGGATTCTCAGAACCCACAGCCAACTACAGTTCTCAAAACTGCCTGCAAGAAAGCTGAGACAGTAAAAGGACACAAGTTCAGTTCACACCCGTGCCTTCACTCAAGCACAGAGGAGTCCCTTTATTGTTTCTTCAGTGGTTATAACAACCTCCTCAGCAAAGATCAGAAGTTATACTCACACTAAAGAAACCTTTTCTTCTCCTTCTGCTTCCCACATAAAAGCGGGATCCAGTCACAGTCAAGGATGTGGGGAAAGCTGCTTCCACAATCCTAAAGTGGGTGAAAAGAAAAACACATGTGAATCTAGAGAGATAAAGTAATTGTCATTACTAACAACAGAGGCAAGTCCAGGCCTAGACTGTTCTCATTGGAAGAAATGTTCTGGAGAACTTTAGCTGAACTGGGCTTCACTAATCCACAAAAGTATCTACACCTGTTTCTTTCCCTGTGTCAAAGCAGCCTTCACAACCTGGCCTCCAGGCATCTTCGCCTGAAACTCCAGTGGTAATCCAACACTTCTGAGGGACATGCAGGTTGGGAATGTTATAGGATGTTTGCCTACCTAACAATGTTTGCCTACCTAACAATGTTATAGGATGTTTGCCTACCTAACAAACTTTATTTCTCTGCTCTTTCTGCAGTCAGTAGGTGCCATCAATTTGCTTTCACTACTTCAGCAGGCTAATGGCTCGCAGAAGAGTTCCATCTTGATGGTTATCGGGTTGAGTAGGTTAGCCCTACTTAGAGTAGATCCATTAAAATCAATGGGATTTAAGGTAGCCATGATTAACCTCAGTCTAATTAATTTTAATGGATCTGCTTTAAGAAATGCAACCCATTGTTTAGAAGCTGCAACTAAGAACTTTTCCACATGAGGCACTTATTGTTTGCTTCTGATTTCTTATCCAGACTTGTTTATTGGCTCTTTAGACAATAACATGATCCTCCAGTTTTGCTCCTGTTTCTTGCAGATCAAATCCCCAGGTCTTTTAGAGGAGGGGAAAGGAGGTATTACATCAGAACAGGGAGAATGCTGCCCTTTTGCCTTGTATATTTGAGCTATTTTAAAGCAGAGCTCTGCCAAGAGGGTATGCAGGGCAAAACAGGAAAGAAACCACAAAGGTAGGATCTCAGCACTGCAACAGAAGCAAAAGTAAATACTATGATGAATGGCCTGATGTAGAAGAGCCCTAGATTGTTAAGATCTGTAATGCTTCTATTTGGATCTGGAGCATGTTCACCATTTTAAGCCATTTTTGGGAGAAAACCTGTGCTATTAGATGACAAGAACGCCACCCAGCCTGTAGAATTCCCAGTCCTGGGGTGTCCTGGTTCCCATGCAGCCCCATCCCAGGGATGGGGGGTAGTGGTTAAATTACCCCTGAATTGTACGTGCGTCACATACACATCTGTGGGGATGCTGCAGTCCACAGTGAGAGAGAAGGAGTTTTTCGACACAGCCAGTACCAGTGTGTGCCACCGGTTGTCTGCCAAAAACACATCCTGGAAGGTAACCCTTGTCTGCCAGCCATTAGACAGTTCTCTGCTCCAGAAGAGGAAGTGAAGTTTATTCCATGAATATCGAAGTCCAAGCAGCAGAGTATCACTATTTTCCTCCAAAACTGTAAAGATGTACTCATTCCTCTGAAAAACACAGTTAAGCCGGTTAGCCTGAAAGGCAGTGTTTTCTTTTATCAACTTTTGATTTGTTTTTCCTATATATACTTTGATCCTAAGTTTCAGAGAAATAGTAAAGTTCCTAAAAGAAAATGGTGGTGCTTATGGATGTTTTTAGAAAGCAAGGCACTCATATTGCCTGCAGTGGATGACTTTGGACACCCAAGCTATTGGTGGTTTGGTTCTGTCTTGACCATTCACCACTTATCCAGTTGTTTTATCTATTCACATCTTCCTAACATACCACAGCCCAGAAGAGAAGATGGGGACTTTTTGAGTTTTGGCTTTTTGAAGGGGTAGCCATGTTAGTCCATTGCAGCAAAACTAGCAAGCCTTACCCAGTTCCCACCCCGCATGGCCATTTGCCAGTGTTTGCATGTGGAAGGAAGGCCATTGGCCAGGCTGGCTGGAAATTCTAGCTAGCTGCAGTCCCATTGGCTTGTTCGTCTTTAAGATCTCACATACCTCGGCTCAGTCAGACATCAATTTGAAAGGGAGACTGCAGCCAAGAAATAGGAAGACTTAGTTTTAGAAGGGCCACAATGAAGAAACTAGAAAAGATCATTAGATGTAAGACATTTTACTGACAATCAAAGTCAAGGTCATCCAAACCACTGTATTCCCAATCATACTGTATGAGTGTGAAAACTAGACAGGGAAGAAAAGTGATGCGTTTGAAACATGGTGATGGAGGGTTGCTTTGCAATCACCCTGGATTGTCAGAAAGCCAAACCAGTGGGTCCTAGAACAAATTAAGTCAGAACCTTCCCTAGAAGTAAAAATGACAAAACTGAGGCTGTCATACTTCGGACACATCATGAGAAGACAATCATGCTAGGGAAAGTTGAAGGCAGAGAAAGAAGAGGAAGACCAAATATGAGATAGATTGCTCCCTTAAAGGAAGCTACAGCCTTGAATTTCCAAGAGCGGAGCAGGGCTGTCAAGGATAGGGCCTTTTGGAGGGCTTTCATTCATGGGGTCACCAGAAGTCAGAGATGATGGCGCACAGTGCCTTCTGCCTGCTACCACTAGATCTTCTCGTCTGGTAGCACCCTGAAGGTTTTTAATATGAGCAGTTTAAACGAATGCTTTATTGAGGTTGCGTCTTATGTTTTTGCTGTGGAGGAAAAAATTGTCCTTTACATGCCCCCTGCCCCAGGAGTATTTCTCTGCTTTTCACAACAACTATAGATCCTATTAAGCTGTTGTAAGCCGCCCCGAGGCTTCGGCGAATGGGGCAGCATAAAAATGTTTTAATAAATAAATAAATATTAACTAACCACAAAGGCAGTGCTGTGGTATAACTGCAGTATAACAGATTTGCAACTCTTTGTGAGGATTTTGTTCCGCTTTGTCACAATTTCACATTTAATACCAGACCTTTTTTGCTCTAAGAAAGCCCACAAAAAAGGCTGGAAAACACAAGAGAGGTTCCAGCAGAGGGAAACATCATGAAAAGACCCCACAAAGCTCCATGACCGAAGGGAGCACAATAAATGCCTCATGCAGAGAAGCCCTCAGTCAAACTTAGCGTAGATCCATTGAAAGGAATGAGTGTTAACATGGCCATGTTTTCAGTGAGGCTGCCATGACCAAGTCTCCAGTTAACCCACTGAATATACATTTTACTGGCAAAGCATCAGTCGGTTCAAGTGAAAAAATGCCATTGGTCCAAGTGCCTGCTGCTCTATGCAGATGCAAACATAAGTAGCTTTTGTTCGGGCCTCCGTGCCTGGTGATGCAAGCGGCAAGCAGCTTTTACTGCTCTCCCAATGAAGCATACATCACTATATTTTTGGTCGCAGAACCACTGCCTTCTTCCATAGCCTAGTCTTCTGGTGCCATCTTAATTTGTTTTGCAAAGATTTACGATTGACTCTAAGATTGCAGGGTCTAAACTGCTGATTGAAATCAAACAGATCACACTCCAAACAAAGCACAATGCCAAATTAGGGACCTCTCTGCAACGGAGAGCAGTAAGTGCTCTCATGAACCCTCACTCACAGACATTCTCCTCCTGTGATTTCCACTCTTTTTGGTGGGTTTCTTTTTTCCACAAGCAAAATCTGGTATTGAATTTAAAACTGCAACATACCAGAACAAACCACAATGCTGCCTTGTATTTACTTAATAGAATATATAGAAAGGCAGAGAAATAGTAATCTTGGGGATACTGTGAGCAAGCCATTTTTCCTCTTGCAATGAAAATGAAAGAAGAAGCCACAGTAAGGTAGCTCAGTAAATGCTTCATGCAGAGAAGTCCTAGGTCATGGGGCTAATAATGTAATAGTTCTCTTAGGCCACTATAAAGTTTTAGGTTTCTATTATTTGTTTAGAAATTGTGTTTTTATCTGCTGCCTTTTGCAATGCTGCTGGTTTTTCAACTGACTAGTTACATTGTTTGAAGCTGCTGTGGCAGCATTTAAACTGAAGTGCATTGTGTATAAATTTTGTAAAGAAACTGATAAACAGAACAGAATTCAATAGAATACAAACAGTGAATGGACAATGTGTTATCTACTGGCTGAATCCCATATTTTAAGTCCCTGTTTTAAGTGCTCTCTGTTTTACTACCAATTTATATTTGTACTCCAAATCTGACTAAGAGTAAAAAAAAGTTGCATAAATATTCCATTAACAAATAGAATAAAACTGGAGATTGAGAATTCTCCATTCCTTTCCCAGGTGTCACATTTATAATTTTGGCTGGCCAGAAGAACTATCAGTATATAACTCACATTCCCTTCTGTTTTTACTGCTTGTTTTTAACATTTTATTTATGATTTTTGTTTTCTGAATGTTGGTTCCAGAAAGGCGAGATAAAATGTGATTGATCAGAAAAATCAATAAAGGTGCAATCCTATACAATTGAGTAAACATGGAAGCACGTGTTCATCTGTTGCAGAGAAGTATGGGTGGAGACAGTCCCCGACTCCCTGTTCTTCCAGCTCTGGAAATTTTCACTAGACAGATGTTCAGCCACCCAGCAACAGGATTCAGAAGGGAAGAGAAGGAGTCTAAAACTGGTTCAGAATACCGCATGACCTGACCCTTCCTTCTCTCCCTTTCACTATTATTAGAATGAGGAGGTTTGAACTTCTTGTGGTAGAACGGAAGTCGCTTTCCACAATTCCCATTATTAGAAATTATTAGTCGCAATTCCCATTATTAGAAGGATTCTACATACTGCAGGATGAAACTGCTCTTGTATTCGCTATGAGTTGGGTAACACAGGCTTCTCTAAAGGCAGTTATACACTTCTGCACTCAGTACTGTAGTAATATATATAACTTCAATTGGATTCAGGGAGCTAATGTGCTAATTGTAGGCTGCTCATACAAAGAAGACTTTGTACCATATTCTTCATCAGGCATCGCCTTCTCTGAAATTTAAAGCACTCCGTAGCAAAGCAAGGCCCTTATCCTGCAGCCACTTCTTTTGCACTTGGTACAGATCAATGAAGGCATCAAGAAAGACATTCTTGGTAAGGTACAACCTCAGCCTCATTGGCCCTCAGCAACAGCTCTGAGTGCTAAACCTTGATCCCACAATGTTTCAAGGGGTTCAGATGCAGTTTTTGGTTTATCCAGCCAAGCTGCGCAGGCCAAGGCTTTCCAAATTAGGTGAAACAAGCAGGGCTTTTTCAGTGTACATTTCACAAATGCTAACCCTTTGAATTAGCATATGCTCCACTTGAAAAAAAAATTCAGCGTTTCACAACAACACACTTTGGCTTTACACATTTTTTTCTAATTCTTGGTGGTTTCTGACTATGTTATACATAAGACAAACTAGTTGCCTGAAGCTTTGCTTGCACAGTGAATTGATTTATTGTGTGTGCAATCCTATATGTGTCTTCTCAGAAGTAATCCCCATGATCTTCAATGTGACTTACTCCAAAGTATGTATATAATTGCAATCCTTCACTGTAATCATATACATACCTACTCAGGAGTAAGTCCCATTGATTTTGGTATAAGAATACAGCCTTACTCTATCTATATCCATAGCCAATAGATCTAGAGAGAATCAGGGTGTGAATGGATTAGCAGATTGCCTAATTCTACCTTCTCTTTAATTGCTGTCAACCAACAAATCCTATCCTTGTATGTGTTTTCACAATTCATAAAAGATCACTGGGAAACCCCAGGATGTTTTTCAAAGTTCTGTAAGTCATGTAATAATTAAGCTCAGTCAATTAAATCTGTATCTTGTTATCTGGGGCTGTTTTATATTCCTACTTAAAATGATAATTAAATATTATGTTCTATTCCATTTTATTGAAATACTGTCATGCATTATGAGCCTGTTAGACATCTGAGTCCACTGGCAAGCAAGTAAATATGCTTATAATAATTTCTGTCTCTCTTCGTAGTGTGAAATAATTAACAAGTTGCATGATTTTGCAAGGTCTGCCAAATTAATTAGAATATTAAATCCAAGTTTATAAAATGTATTAATCACGCCAACTATGATCTAATCAGTAGGTAAATAATTCCATGCTAGCGTGAAAATCCACCACATGCTTACCTTGGATTGCATGTGGAATGCTTTTAGGGTGAACACAATGGAGAATTCCTCAGGGAAGAGGTCACAGTATATGAAAAGCCGTGATGCTGGAAAGCTGAGGAAGCGAGGGCGCACTGCAGTGAACTGGAAGCCCCGAGCTCCTTGTACCTGGATCATTCGTAATCCACTCTTCATCCCATTCATGGGAACCACTTCGGAGAGGAGATCCAGAGGATGCAAATCTATGCCAGAGAAACACAAAGCCATATTACCGAAACTGGGGGAACACAGCAGCGAGCCATAAAGGCTGCTTCTGAATGATGGTGATAGGCCAAGGCCATGTACCTGCTCCACCAAAGCAGCTTCCAGATGGATTAAAAAATAATGGGAAGATTTGATTAGCTGGCAGCATCTACTGGATCAAGAAAAATCCCTGGGTGGTCTCACCAAAAGAGATAAGGTCACTGAAATAAACTTGGAAGGAATATGAAGTTGAAAATGGCCCATCAAGTCCTACTGCCATCCGTTATCTGTGGTTGACAGACATCCCATATTTTAAAGGATATTCTTTCATTTAAAAGATTAGCGATTACTCTAGATTATCTCAGTACCCTGGGAAATAATTCTTAATCTTATTTCATCAATTTTTTGTTGAACATAGCAAACATATTCCTTCATTCAGACCCTACAACTTGAGTGTATCCCTTAATCTGGAACTTTTGGTTTAGTATGCTTAATGTTATCCCTGCATAAAACAGGGCAGTGATGCCTAGATGCTGCCAAAGGTGCCATCTGTTTAGTAAATAAATTTATATACTACCCAATTGACAGGTGTCCTTTGGGTAATTCAGAGTCATGAAAGACCCTCAAACAACATGACAATAACAAGCAAAACAATAAATATAGCATACAAATATCAGAAGATTTTAAAAATTGAAGAAAAAATATACAGAAGCATACTTTTAGGCTTCACTGGAAAGGGGGAAGATTTCAACAGAAGAGACAAGATTCACAGCAAGGTTTAAACACCAGATATCCAAGATTATATTACCAAAAAGGAGCTATGTAATTAGAACATTTGTTGTGGTGACTGTGCTATATTACATAATAATCAGTGATAGTAGTGCTCACGAGGAATAATCATGAACTTTCCAATTGAAATAGGCTCTCTTCCCTCCCCCTCAGCATTGAAGACATTGGGTCTGCAATGTCTCAATGCAATGTGTTGCACTGCCAGTGTTTCTTGCAGCTTTTACGTGGTTTTAAAGAAGCATACACACAATTTTTCTGCAATTAAAATCTATTACTCAGTATCACAGTCCAGAAAACAGCCCCTTTTCGGCCTCTCCTGTGTTACTGTATGCAGAAATTCCAGGGTATCACCAGGCTTCAGTGGCATCATTCTCCACAGTCTACCACACCAACACTACCTCTAGCCCATCCTCTCATCCTCTCTGCAGATAATATTCATACTTTCCAAGTGATTCATAGAGTAGACAAACCACATGCAATCACAGGCAATCTGTTGTTCTCTCAAGTTTCCATAACTATCTAGAACTTTCCTTGTCCAATTGTTGTCCTTTTCTATTCTTCCTTCCTCCTGTCCTTTGGGCCACATAGACTGAAGAAGAGTTCTGGAGAACTTGAAAGATTGCCATAATTATCGCATTTAGGGTAATCCTAATAAAGGTATGGCCCAAGTCTGGCTTTTTTTCATTTTTATGTATTTGTTTATCTGAAATACTTTATGCCACTCTTAAATGCTTCCAGAATGGCTTATATATAATGACAGTCAGTGCCTGAAGGCTTACAACTACCCCCACCAACAAATGAGATCCAAGGAAAAAGGGCTGGTAAGGGAAGAAGGAAAAAATAATTCCACAAGCAGGGGTGATGGAATGAGCCTGCTCTCCCTCTCATCTAATCAGTACAGCCTGGTGGAGTGGCTACTGGAATTTATCATCAAAGATAGTATAATATTCAATCATTTGAATAAATAAATATTGAAGACTAAAATGCCTCCTTGGGAAAGAATCGAGACAGAATCATGAAAAAATAATTAAGCCTCACCAACCTTGGAATTATTTCAGCATATCAAGGAACAGAAGGCAGCAATAAACCGGTAGGCAGAGTGTCCTTGGACTTCCAAAGAAACACTTGTCAAAGACATGCACCAAGAGTCATATAAGAAGAAGACAGGGCCTCCCCTGAACAGTAACTGTTAAATTAAGTGGAAGCAGGGACATGAGTAAGTGGACAGTTTTCACAATGGAAGGGAGAAAACATCAGCGTTCCCAGGAATCTGTATTGTGACTAGCTCTATCTGAGTCATCCATAGGTCAAGGTGAGCAGTGAGTTGGCAAGTTGATGAACTCCAAATTATCCAGGATAGTGCAAACTCAGGCAGACTGTGAAGAGCTACACAAATATCCCGCACAGTAGCTGTATAGTCAGCAAAATGGCAGATGAGAGCTGGGCTTCCATTCTGCATCCATTTACCTGGAAGTAAATCCCACTGAAACCAATGGGGCTAGTACAGAGGATCACCATGCCACTGTAAGTAAATCTAAAGAGGTACATGGTCGGACACAAAATCAAACTTGTATACTCATAGGATCCGTACTGGCCACAAACTCTTAACCAGGAAAATGATCTTAGTGGGATTTTTTCTGAATAGCCTGCACTCCCACCCCCAGCCCCCTTGCGCTGGCTTATTCAAAGGCCCATTTCACCCCTGAGAGTTGCTGACTCAAATTGTTGCCTAGCAACTTTGGTAGAAGAGGGATGGGATCTTCAACAGGGCTGGCCCAATATATATTGCTTCCTAAGACAAACCCCAAAGACAAACCCCATCTTCCATAGAAGGAGGATGAGCGAAGCAAGCATGGAACCTTTCAGTATCTCTGAGAACACTGTGGGCAGCCTGCGTAGCTCCCAGAGGCCTGTTATCCAACACCTCACTGCTGCTCTTCTCCTCAGGCAGCTTGTCCGGTCTGAGGTATCCTGGAGTTGAGGAACTGAGAGCAATTTGCATTCCGAAAGGAGTGGGTGTCTGACCCCTTCTGAGCCTTCCTGTTCCTTAGGAGCAAGAGGAACATAATCTTCTCCATCATCTCTGGTGTTGCAAGCTTGCACAATCAACCCTTGAGGGGCTGTCCTCATTCTGGGAGGAATTCCATTACACTTTTCTCACTGGTTGAGGATGGATGTTAATCCCTCTCCTACCCCGACAGTCACTCCTGTCAGCATTTTAGTGCTTAACCTGCCGCTTTTCTGCCACTTGGAGCTCTCTAAGTTTCCTTCAAGTGCTTGTACTTATCACATGCATATACTTATTTGAACAAAGTACAGGTCACCCTGCCAGTTATTTGACATTAAAAGGGAAACCTTGTGGAGCGGCAGGTGTTGCCCCAGCTCTTACGGGACCAAAGAACTACAGTGGCATTCAGACGCAGAGCCAGGTGATGCTGCAGCCAGGCAGTTTGCGACCCAGGACTTCCTGGTGGCAGTGGTGGTGAGGCTTTAGAGGGCCACTGAAAAGCACACCGCAGCCACCATCCCTGCTCTATACCTGCTTCCACGTGCCTTGGGGGTCAGGATGCTCACCAACCCTGCGGGTGGGGGGAAATATTCCGAGCCTCTGCAGTTCTGCATTTTAAAAAGAAATTGTTTTAGCTGTTTAGACTGTTTCAGACGCTGTGTAGTGAAAAAGCCATGCTGTATTTTGCGATGTCTGTATTTCATGCTATATTTTATCAAATCTCTGCTTGGCCTCTTGTGTCCTGCTGTGAACTGGCCAGAGGAGGACAGCCCTTAAGTGCCAGGTTGCAGGCGGGAGCGGTGGAGGCAACCATCACTTCCCAGTTCTCCCATTACTTCTTTTTCCTCTAACGAAGCCTCTGCAATGCACTGGTGGAGGCAGAGCTGGGGCTCAGGAGGGCCTGGGAGTCTTCATCACCTGGCCCCTCTTTTCCTCTACCCACCCCCCTTCAGACCTCTGCAAGGTCATCCAAAACTAATTTTGTGACTTCAGAAGGCAGGTGCTGCAGTCCCTTTCATGATGGCTATGAGGGGAAGAAGAAGGGGACGGCAGAGAATGAGGTGGCTGGATGGAGTCACAGAAGCAGTTTGAGCTTGAGTGGACTCCAGGGGATGGTGGAGGACAGGAAGGCCTGGAGGAATGCTGTCCATGGGGTCGCGATGGGTCGGACACGACTTCGTGACTAACAACAACAACAACAACGAGGGGAAAGGGAGGGATTGGGTTTTGGAACTCCTCCTCCAAAAATCATAGCAATGCCTTCAGCTGGGGAAGAATGCTCCAAAAGAAAGTGATCCCTGGGATGCTCTCCAGGGACCATGTGGCTGAGCTCTAAATCACAGCATCATTTATGAGTGCAGGAATAAAATGCAGATTATTTCTCATGCTACTGTCTGGGTGGCCTCATGCTACTGTCCTCATGCTACTGTCTGGGTGGCCATTTGGAAGGACCCACCCCCTGCAGGGTCCTGGAATTTGACCCAAGATCCAGCTTTCACTGCACTGCTGGAACCAAGCCTCTGCAATCCCAGCACACATTTGACAGAATCTAACAATTCCACTATTATATATAGATTTGGATCTGGGCTTCAAGAATTTGGCCTTTGTTATGGGCAAACACATTCATGTGCACACTCCTACAAAGACTTACAGCTTCCAAATAGTTTGCATTATTTAGGGAAGAAAGCAAGACACATGTGAGGCCCTGGGCAATCACATGGACTTTTTAAAAAGCCAGCAGGATAAATGACTTTTGACAGAAAACATCTGGCAAGCACAGAGCTCAGTTTTGCAGTGCCATCTGAGCCATGTGCAGCGTCTCTTCAGTGCTTCAAACAGACACCAGCAAGACCACATTAGGTCCATTTAGCAGCAGGGGAAACACCCACCTTTTGATGTCTTCTCAAATACTATGTTTTTGGGCAACTAAGAATGGATAAACCTTACCTGGAGGCTTCAAATGCTTATATAACACTTACCTAATTCCCTTCCTTGAAAAAACAGCAACACATTAAATTAACTGCTATTCTGTGCCTCGGGAGCAAAAAACAACAGACATGGTGAGCCAGTACAACAATATCCCATGATCTGAGTTTGATGACTGTTTCACAGTTAGATCTCTTGCCACTGAAAGTGGCTGTGGCTGAAGCCCTAAGCACACATATTTGGGACTAAGCCCGACTGAATGAAGCAGGACCTACTGATTCTGTGCATAATTACAACTGTG